GGGGAGCGGGCGGGAGGGAGGGCGCGAGCAATGACCTCAGACCTGCTGACCCCGGATGCGCGTAGCTTCGCCACCTGCCCCCTGGGCAAAGTGCAGCGTCACCCCCGGCTTAAATACTCACCGTGACAAACATCATCATAGGCGGTGACGCTTAAGGACGCATGTCAACCCTGCAGGGGGAGCTTATGCTCTCAAATGCAGAGTGATCGTTCCGATGCCAGACATTTACATCCATTTTCATTCTTCTTTTGTGGTCTAGCTAGGCAGTACTTAAGAGCAGAGCGTTACCGCATAATTGTATAATAAATCTCCACCCCCCACTCTTCTCCCCAGCGTTTGCTGTACTGCTGGGGATGCTGAAGGGTGGTGACTAATGCAGTTTTCATTCTGGTGCTGAACTGGGAACCCAACCTTACTTGAAGATGTGACTGGGCAGCACTGTGAATAGTCACATTTATAGCAACAATTACTCGATTTAACACGTGTTGTCAGACCTTGTCCTCGCTGCTCAGCGGCTTAATTCTTCCTTTTGATGCAATATTCCTGAGCACCAGACACTGTGCACAGGCGCGGTACCCGGGCGTACACAGGAAGCCAGGTAAAGAGGGGCCAGGGAAGAATGAGATCCTGGCAGGACAGGGTTAGCAGATGAAAAGAGGAGGACATCAAGACAGGTGGCATTTGTCATTTAAGTGCTAGAAGTGAAGGGAAAAGGGCAGGAGGAGTCTCTGGAGCAGTCCTGGGGAGGACAGATTCGCAGTGTTTGGATGTGGAAAGAACTAATCAGTGAAACATTTTTTAAAGCCCAGTTTATCTTTGATCTCCTGCAGGTTCTGAAAGGAGAGTTCAAAATTCCATCAAGTAATTCTGACTTCCTGCTACAGAAATGCAATCGCATTGACAGTAAGAGGATGCTTTTTTTTTTTTCCTAAGCCTTATCTGCACATAAAGAAACTGGGGGCCGGGCGCATGGCTCACGCCTGTAATCCCAACACTTTGTGAGGCCGAGGGGGGCAGATCACCTGAGGTCAGGAGTTCGAGACCAGGGTGGCCAACATGGTGAGACCCCATCTCTGCTAAAAATACAAACATTAGCCGGGTGTGGTTGTGTACACCTGCCATCCCAGCCACTCAGGGGGCGGAGGCAGGAGAATCGCTTGAACCTGGGAGGCGGAGGTTGCAGTGAGCGGAGATCATACCACTGCACTCCAGCCTGGGCAACGGAATGAGACTCTGTCTCAAAAAAGAAAGAAAGAAAGAGAGAGAGAGAAAAGAAAGAAAAGAAAGGAAGGAAGGAAGAGAGAAAGAGAGAAAGAGAGAGAGAAGGCAGGAAGGAAGGAAGGAAAGAAAGAAAAGAAAAAAGAAACGAAACGAAAGTGGGGGCCAGGCGCGGTGGCTCACACATGTAATCTCAGCACTTTGGGAGACTGAGACGGGCAGATTACTTGAGATCAGGAGTTCTAGACCAGCCTGGCCAACATGGTCAAACCCCGTCTCTACTAAAAATACAAAAATTAGCCTTGCGTGGTTGCGGGCACCTGTAATCCCAGCTACCTGGGAGGCGGAGGTTGCAGTGAGCCGAGATCGTGCCACTGCACCCCAGCCTGGGTGACAGAGCGAGATTGTGTCTTCAAAGAGACTAAAAATGGGATGGGAGGGAGGAAGGGAGGCAGGGAGGGAGGGGCATAGAGAGGTGGTAGTGTGGTGGGTTTGTTTCTTGGCCTTCATCTTTGACTACCTGGGGGTTTGGGATCTCATATCCTCCCTCCTACAGATATTGTGAAGATTAAATGACAGAAGAAGTCCTTAGAGGGGTGCAAGGCACACAGCCTCACTCAAATGGTAATTGTTAATGAGTATTTAAAGATGCCATGTATTGTGAAACTACCATAATGGTAGATAGATATCATTATGCGTTTGTCAAAATCCACACAATGTGCACCACCAAGAGCGAACCCTAAGGTAAACTATGGGCACTGAGAGCTAATGATGTGTCCATGTAGGTTTAGGATTGTAACAAGTGTACCACTGTGGTGCAGATTGACAGTGGGGCACGTGTGGAAACGAGGGATACATGCAGCTCAGTTCTTTCTGCTTACCTTTGCTGTGAACCTAAAGCAGCCCTAAAAATAAAGTTTAATAAAAATAAAAGATGCCATGTCTTTTTTTTCCAATTACTGACACATTACACAGTTGCGCAGCACTTTACAAGATTCAGAAAACCCCATGAGCATATTATATTATCTCATGCTAGCCTCACAACTTTGAGCTGAACAGGGCAGAAGCACAGGCATGGCAGTTTTACAGATGCTGAAACTCAAGGATTTTAGTAGAGAGCATTAGACACTATTGAAAAAATCTAGTCCTCAGTTTTCTGATTCAGGATCCTGTGTATGTTTAACAGACTTCTTTCCTCTATTTAATACCCACTATTTAACAAAAACAAACAAAAAAGAAAAACCCTATTATTCAGTTTTTAACTTGGTTAGTTGTTTTGCACATAAGCATTAAGTCACATGATCTACTTGTTAGTTTCTAATATCACTTGAAATTGGCACAAGTCTCTGAAATAAGCTGTTAGAATAAATTTCTAAACGATTATTTAAGCAGTATGTGAGCTTATCTCAGAACAGCAGCTGTCCTGTGGTGTCAACATGAGGTGGGTGTGGTAAGTGTCAAAGGAGTTACAAGCTGTAACCGCTTTTAGATTTCCACTAATACGTGACAGAACTTACAATAGTGAACTGTTTCACCCTGCACTTCAGGCATTAGTTTCATAGTTCTAGACATTTAAAACACTGTTTTCCTGGTAAGACCTCACTTGATATCACAACTCTGTGGAAAGCCAAGTATGGTTTCCATTTTATAGGAATGGAAACTGAACTGCCTGAGATTAGGGGACTGCCAAACAGCTGGAAAACGAGGTAGGCCAGGCCTTGTCTAAGTCTAGAGTTCCATTCAGTGGAAAGTGTGTGAAGTTCTTGACTGCTGCTGTCCAAATATGCCTGCTTCCAAAGAAAAAACTACTGAGGGCTTTACAGTTTTACAGGGGTTTGTTCAATTCCGTTTTCAATGTGTGTGTGTGTGTGTGTATATATTTTTGCCTTTAACACTGGACTCTATGGATGTATCCAGGATCTTTTCCACTCATGAAAGATTTAGGAAAAAAAAAAAAAAAAAAAAGAAGCCATTTGTCAAACATATTTCAAGAAGAAAATACACTGAAGTTATCTAAGAACATTTAAAAACATTTTTGCACACTGCTGATCCTGCACACATTAAGCAAGTTTTTGTTGTTGTTGTTTTTTGAGACAGAGTTTTGCTCTGTTACTGAGACGCTGGAGTGCAGTGGTGCCAACTTGGCTCACTGCAACCTCCACCTCCCAGGTTCAAGTGATTCTCCTGCCTCAGCCTCCCGAGTAGCTGGGATTACAGGCGCCCACTACCAAGCCTGGCTAATTTTTGTATTTTTAGCAGAGACGGGGTTTTGCCATGCTGGCCAGGCTGGTCTTGAACTCCTGACCTCAAGTGATCTGCCCACCTCGGCCTCCCAAAAAGTGCTGGGATTACAGGCATGAGCCACTGCACCCAGCTGAGCAAGTTTTAAACACCATAGGTTGGGGCCACTGGACTACTGCTATACTAAAGAGATTTCATATTTTTGTTCCTGAGAGAAGGTGGCAAGGAGAACCTTGGTAATGGGGCATTTGTAGAGCTGAAGACAGATAAGCTGGCTGCACTTGAAAGACAGCTAGGCCAATGGACTTAGCAAAGAGCAGATGTTTCAGTATCCCAGCTGGGGCAGCAAGATGGGGCTGTGACCACATCCAAGTAAAGAATTAAGGGCAATCCATTCTGCAGGCCCTCTGGTAAATACTGCTCATTGACCCATGGATCCACTGGGAGGAACTGAAAATCAAACAAAAGACCCAGTACTTTGGGCAGAAGCTACCAGAAGGATCAGATTAAAATGCAGGAAACTTTTAACATCCTTAAAGGTATACAAGAAAACATGGCTCCTATGAAAAGGAAGAGAATATAAGGAAATTAAGGAAATGAGAGGTAAAGGAAGGTCAGTGAGGTAAATTCCAGAAAATTAGAAGTGCAATAAGAAAATCCATATTAGAAACAGGAAGCACCAGAATGACAGTAAAAATTAAGCCAGTCATGTAGAGATTAAACTTGAAGTTTTCCTAGCATGAAGTCGCTAGATAGATTATTTCTATACTGAGGTAATGTTCTTTCTCAATTACAGGGATAAATCAAAAAACAGAAGCACCCAGGCAGAAAAACAAAACCTACAAGAGAACAAAAATTAGCCTGGTCTTAGACGTGTCTTCTGCTATAATGCCAGAAAACAACAGAACAGCATCAATGGGCTTTTCAAAGAAAAGTGTGACAAGCATTGTAAGCCTAGTCGACTTTCATGCATGAGTTAAAGAGAAGAAACCAGAAGGGGGGCAACTGAGGACAGTCACGTAGAGCAGCATCAGCCCAGGTTGCGTCATTCATTAGTTTGCGTTCAAAATGAGTAGGGAATGATCACTAATTCTTTCTACCATGGCCTCTAAATTCTGAAGTCTTTAATTTTGATATGATTTGTCTTTAGCTAGACTGTCTTCAAATAATTTTTTAAAAAAGAAGGGCACACGGATATGTGTCTTCTGAATCCTCAGACATCCAGAATGTTTGCCCAGCAAGCACCCCCTGCGCCTCCCTGCCTACAAATTCCCCCCCCCCCAATCTGTGTCTTTTATAGTAACAAATTTATACATTCCCAGAGCCTGGAACACACTGGATGTTAACACACACCAATGACTGCAAGGGTACAAGTCAAAGGGAACTCTGTGTATACTATTTTAGAGGAGTGTATTTGTCCGTCCTTCTCTTTCGTTAAACTCCTCTTAACTATCATTCCCAATGTCCTCATTCCTTGATCTTTTTTTTTTTTTCCCCCAGGAAATTTAGGAATCTTTCACTAGAAAATAATGTAGATAAAATTACAGGTTGAAATTTTGATTTTATTTCAAAATGATAAATAAACTGAGGCATAGTTCTGACCAGGTACTATGTCTGCAGGGCTTTTGAAATTAAAGAAACAGTCCAGGAGGGCTCCAGTCAGACCCAGAATGACACCAACCACACTTGTGACTGGCAGAGATAACCTCTTTGATCTTCAGGAATTTTAAAAAGTTCTTCATCCTAATTTCTGAATATCATAAAAAGTAAAAAGTACTTTCATTTTATTTTTCCTTTGAAAATGTTTTTAGTGGCAAACAGGACTACTTGTTTTCCTTACTTCATTTTGATAAGCATAGTAGTTACATGTCAATTTACTTAAAATTAGAGAGGGAGACCCCAGAGACCTGAGTGGCACTTCTCATCCACTGAAGGCCCACATAAATAGGTACTCATGTTCATGTTATCACATCTACAAATAGCAATAAAATGATGTCTGTAAATCGGAAGTACAGCAGTAGCAGTTCATACATATTTGATATGCTTTCACACAAGGATTCAGTAAACAACAATAAATATAATTTCCCCTCTTCAAAACAAAAAATGGATTTATACAGAAAAAGGGTTAATTTACTTGGGGTTTATCAGCACACCATTTTTAATGTGCTTTGAAAGAATTAAAAACCATGAAACTGTATTCATTGAATACTGGTCCATAGTTACATTTTTTCTTTTAACCTGGCTTAAATACATACATCATGGCTTTCTATTAAAATCCTTAAATCTATGGGGATGTGTGGTGGATAAGACTATATTAAAAATTCTTCCTCATTAACAATTTCATTAAATTAAAAAAAAATCTGACATTTCCCTTAAATGTTAAGTTGAAGCCTGATCTACGCTGCCGTGTCCTGTGAAATGAACCTAATTTTCCGAGTGAATAGGAACGCCTGAGTGGCCATTTAGAGTGCTGCATTTTCCTTCCCTCATGATTCCTGCTGGGTCCTCTTCGCTGAGGCTTTTCCCTGAGTCATATATTTACTGGAAAGGCTACCTAGAGGAGGGGAAGAAACAAAACCCAATATAAATGAAACAAGCCTCACTTTATGACAAAAGCCATAAAATTACTTATTAATTAGTCACAAAAGCTTCATACTTGAATTGGTCACTTGTTTAGAATCAAGTAATAAGACTAGATATTAAAAAGTATATATGCAGATGACCGATTAAATATAAGCTTAGTCAAAATTCTTTCTGAATGCAGACAGGTTCCTAGAGTGATCTCATTTTAATACATTTACATATTCACTATTTCCACGCTGGTACAGAGCACCAGACAAACCTAAGGTTCTGCCTTGTGTAATTCAGTATCTTCATTTGCAACCAAACACAATAGATTTCAAAGAATTATCTGGCCAGAAATAATTATCTTAGATCATTACTCTGCAGATACAAAGCTGTGGATGGTAATCATTGTAGCAATAATTCATCGATATAAAAGGAAAAAAGGAAATTTATATTTGCAGGTGGAGGACATGAATGAGGATTACTGATTAAAACCAATACCACAGAATAGTTACTAAATTTTGTTCTGGAGTCTGAACAAATAGATCAATGAAAAAACTTAAGAAACCTGAGAAATTCTTGGTGATTATATGTAACAAAGTAATACATAATGAAGTTTGCATTTCAAACCAATGGGGCAAAGTATGAATTATTCAATAACTGTATTATGTCAAATAAGTAATTTTGGAGGCAAAGAAGGAAGGTAGTTTCCCTCCTCACACCATATCCTTCTTCTCTACCCATTTCCAAGTGAACTACAGAATTAAATGTAACTAAGAGAAAGTCAGAGCATAAGAAATAGTGAGTATTTAGGTACTCCTGGGGTAGGGTAAGAGTTTTCTAAGCACACTACCACACTTAATGAACTTGTAAGTCAACAGATAAAAGAATGAACACCAATAGACAACTAGGTAATGAAAAGGTAATATACAAAATAGGAAAAAAAATGGCATAAGTATATGAAAAAATTCAATATCGGGGTAATCAATGAAATGCAAATTAAAACTATCAATTTTTGGTTACCAAATTATTAGGAGGAAGAAGATCAGGAGGAGGTGGGTAGAAATTCTGCTAAAGAAATATTCATAAAAACCTTATAATTTAACAATGCAAAGAACTTAAAAGTCCCAAACTTACGATATGACCAAGTATATGAGGAACTATGCACATAATAGAATATTAGGTATACACAGAAGGATAACTAATAATATGAAAAAACAAGGTATAAAACTATATAAATAGTATTTTCAAAAAACTAAAAAACACCCCACTAATCATGTATTTGATGCCTTGTTTTCTTTCTCTGTAAAATGAGGACAATAATACCTGCCCCTCAAAGTTATTGTGAAGATTAGATGAATACATGTAAAGCAACTGGAATAGTACTTGGCACATAGAAAATGCTCAATAAATGTGAACTATTATTACATTAATGTAAAAAGACAGGAAAATGTTATCCCCAAAACCTAAATAGTAGTTGATGCTAGAATGGAGGGAGTTTAGATGGTTTTTATTTTCTTCATTTTACTTAACAATACTTTCTATATTTTCCATAGCAAACATAGTAAATACGCAAATAAAAACATGCTCTAAACACATACTTTTCAAAGCAGGACATCTAGATAATCAACTCACAACGAAAAATACCAGCCAGGGAATTCAGTAAGAAATTTCAGTCAGGAAGAAATGAAGTACTCTATTGTTCTACCACTGTATTATTTATGCCACAGAGCATCTATTAGTCTATAGGCATCCATCTTCGATACTGTGAACTGCACAAAGTACTGAGATTAGGTTTTTCAGCCAGGCACGGTGGCTCACAACTGTAATCCTAGCACTTTGGGAGGCCAAGGTGGGCAGACTGCCTGAGCTCAGTAGTTCAAGACCAGCCTGGGCAACATGGTGAAACCTCATCTCTACTAAAATACGAAAAAAAATTAGCTGGACATGGCAGCGGTGCACCAGTAGTCCCAGCTACTCAGGAGGCTGAGGCAGGAGAATTGCTTGAACCCAGGAATGGAGGTTGCAGTGAGCCAAGATCATGCCGTTGCACTCCAGCCTGGGCGACAGAGCAAGACTCCATCTCAAAAAAAAAAAAAGAGATTAGGCTTTTCACCAGAGGGAAAAATGCTCAGATCACTACCTCGTACTCTCTACACATATAAACTCTGGATGGATTAAAGGTCTAAATAGAAAAAACAAAGTTTTAAAGCTGTTAGAAGAAAATAGAGATGGATATCTTTATGACCTCAGGTTAGAGAAGAATTTCTTAAAGATGACCCTAAATTATGAACCAAATGATGATGAAAACGAATTATGGAAAACTAATAATTTGATTATCTCAAAATTAAAAACTTTGGAATGGCAAGACACACAAAAAGTTGAAACAAGATATACTGCAGGTAGACACTTGAAATTTATGCAATAATAAAAGACTAGTATTCAGAATAAATGAAGAACCTTTAAAAATTAATAAGGAAATGATAATTTAATGGGAGAATGGGCAAATGATTTGGACAGACAATTGACAGAAGAGGAACTCCAAATGGCCAATAAATACGTAAGAAGGGCCTGTAATCCCAGCACTTTGGGAGGCTGAGGTGGGCAGATCACTTGAGGTCAGGAATTCGAGGCCAGCCTGGCTAACATGGTGAAACCCTGTCTCTACTAAAAATATGAAAATTAGCCGGGTGTCGTGGTAAGTGTGTAATTCCAGCTACTCAGGAGACAGGAGGCAGGAGAATCGCTGGAACCCGGAAGGCAGAGGTTGCGGTGAGCCGAGATCGTGCCATTGCACTCCAGCCTGTGCAACAAGAGCGAAACTCCATCTCAAAAAAAAAAAAAAAAAAGAAAAAGTAAAAGGGCCCCTTGCATCACCAGTCATACAAATACACATGAGAACACCACCATAAGTAGTTCTCATCCATCATATTTGCAAAAATGAAAATTCTGGAAAAAAAAAATCAAGCATTTGAAAGGATATAAAGAAATGACCCACACACTGCTGGTGTGAGTTCTAATTATTTCAGCCAATACAAGGGTAATCTGATAGAATCTAACTAAAATGCACATAAGCAAGCTATGACCTAACGATTTGACCTGTAGATACACAAACCCTAAAGAATCTCTCGCACATGCTCAAGGGGACTTCTACAAGGATGTTCACTATAGCACTGTTTATAACAGCAGAATATTGAATACAACCTAAAACTGGGTAATAAATACATAGAATATTTTGTATTCACAGGGTGGAATACTGCAAAGAAAAAACCCCAATCTAAAAACAGCAACATATAAAAATTTTAAAACAGATGGGGTCTAGCTTGTTGCCCCGTCTGGAGTGCAGTGACTACTCACAGGTGCTATCATTGCATACTACAGTGTCAGATCTCCTGGGCTCAAGCCATTCTCCTGCCTCAGCCTCCTGAGTGGCTGAGACTGCATGCCCACGTCACCATCCCCGGTTCGTAGGACATTCTTATTATATACCATGATATGCCATTTAAATTTAAAAATTCGCCAAGGAAAAACATATGGTAAGGAATACATATGGAAGAGTACAAAAAAATGAACCAGAAGGGGCTGGGCGCAGTGGCTCACACCTATAATCCCAGCTACTCGGGAGGCCGAGGCAGGAGAATCACTGGAAGCTAGGAGGTGCAGGTTGCAGTGAGCAGAGATCACACCACTACACTCCAGTCTAGGTGACAGAGGGATACTTTGTCTCAAAAAAAAAAAAAAAAAAGGGGGGGGGGGGGGGACTAGGATACTTAACCTCATAATAATGGATGTTTCTAGGGCTGAGAGGAACATGATAGAGGAAATGATCTTGGTGATGGTACTCAAGGCACTTCCACCTCAGTGACAGGTCTTTTATTTAAAAAAAAAAAAAAAAAAAAAGATTGAGCCAGGCACGGCACGGTGGCTCATGCCTGTGAGCTACTTGGGAGGCTGAGGTGGGAGGATCACTTGAGCCCAGGAGTTCGAGGCTGCAGTGAGCTATGATTGTGCCACTGCACTCCTACCTGGGTGACAGAGTGAGACCCTTCTAAAAGAAAAAAAAAAAAAAAATGGAAAAACAATGCCAATTCCCTAGAAGGTAACTTATTGTTATACTGCTACTTGCCCCTGTTTCTGTTTTTCCCAAAATGTTAAACCCTTTGGTAAGTACAGTACTAGTAGTTTTACTACTGGAGCATTTAAACATGTAATCTACTATATCCGAAAAATGTTCACTATACCTGAATATAAAATATTTGCATGTAAAAAAAACAAAAGTACTAGAAATAACACATGAATGAATTTTTATATAATATAGAGGAATAACATGACATTTATAAAATTTGGTATCATATGAAACCATGCAAAAGTTGGCTAGATCACATTATTAAAACAAATATTCATCTGTATGGCAAACACATATAAGTGAGGTTAAAAGAATAATAAACTGGGCCGGGTGGAGTGGCTCATGCCTGTAATCCCAGTACTTCTGGAAACTGAGGAGGGAGGATCATCCAAGCCCAAGAGTTTAAGACGAGCCTGGGCAACATGGTGAGACTCCATCACTACAAAAACATTTTAACAATCAGCTGAGTGTGATGTCACTAGTGTGTAGTCCCAGCTACTCAGGAGACTGAGGTAGGTGGATTGCTTGAGAGTTCAAGGCTGTAGGCAGCTGTAATTGAGCCACTGCCCTCCAGCCTGGGCAACAGTGAGAGCCTGTCAAGATTATCCAATACAAAAGCACAAAGACATAAATATAAAGAAAGATAGATGAAATCATGTAAAAAAAAAAAAAGGTAAGTTCAATGGTAATAATAGGAATTCAAGCAGGTGTAAAAGGAAAAAAGGCTATCCCAATGATGTCGGGGTATGGGAAACAATGTCATTGACTCTCTGTGATTGTCAACAATCACAATTTGGGAATATTGGCATCACTGTCAAAATGTGTACACTTTTAAACCTATCATTCTTATGAGTGGGAATTTATCCTGATGAAATAACAATATGTGAATATTGTGAATATTCACTAGACAAATATGTGAATATTCATTAGAGTGTTTTATGTAAACGGTGCTCTTTCAACCTGGGTCCATGGGTTCCTGAGCCTACCTGACAGGGCATGTGGCTTGACCTCGGCTCCCTGCAGCCTCCACCTCCTGGGTTCAGGTGATTCTCCTGCCCTCAGCCTCCCGAGCAGGTGGAATTATAGGTGCACACCAGCACATCTGACTAAATCTGCACTTTTAGTAGAGATAGGCTTTCACCATGTTGGCCAGGCTGGTCTTGAACTCCCAACCTCAGGTGATCTGCCTGCCTTGGCATCCCAAAGTGCTAGGATTACAGGTGTGAGCCATGGCGCCCAGCCGCAAGGATAGTTTTGAGAGAGTCAATTTCCAGCTCTTCAACTTCCATATATACTCTTTCTTAAAAATTATATGCCTGTGAATGCCTTTGTGGTCAAGACTTAGGCTGGTTTTCAGGAATCACTCCACCTATCCTTTCTAACTCCCCTTTCACAATTATTCACCTACTTTACAAAAGAAAGGTGTATCTCCTAACCAGTCAAATCTTACTGTGTTGTATTGCCACGAGGCAAAAAAAACAAAAAAACAAAAAAACCCCCAAAAAACCCAGAGAAGAGGAGAAGCAAACAAAATGCTGGTATCTGTGGTAAATGTAAATGCCTCTAATTAAAATCCAAATTTTTAGCTTTCATAAAATTACACTGATAGTGGATGATCATTACAAACAATTTTTGATGATACATCACTGTGATTTTTGGTCATGTAATTAAGAAGGAATCAAAATAATTGAGTGGCACTATTGTAATGTATCTTCTATTCCCAAACTCTTAAAGTATTTCTATTATTTTTAATTTGTCATCATAAAGAATATTGGGGTTTTTCCATTTTTAACAACTATAAAAACAAAAAAATTAGGGAGAGAAAAGGAACAGCTTCATTCATGCAGTGAATAATATTGACCCAAAGACACATGAATGTATAGGGAAAAAAATCTCATCTTTCTCATAAATAAAAGTCGTTTTCAGTAAGTAAACATAAAAAGTAATTTTTAATTAAAATTTGTAACATTTGTTTTGATCAATTATATATTCTATTAATTGTGAAAACTCAATGTAGAAAACATTTTCATCCTTTGAGATTTAATAAAAAGCTTAAAAATTTAATTTGTAGAAAATAGACAGGGTCTAGCTTGTCGCCCCTGTCATTTTTGTTGCAGATAAGCATGATAAGCTACTCAATAAAATATCTGAAAATGTGTAATAAAAGTATATCATCTCAGGGAGAAGTTCAAACAAACAAAATATATCATCTTATGCTGAAATTCTATAGAAGTACAACAAAGGAATTTGAGGAGGAAAGGGAAATGATATGTAATTTTTGCCTGTTAAAGAAGAGCTGAGCTGTATATAAATGATGGTGGGTATGAAAAAGCAATAATATTTATACTTCATTTGATACATTTAAGGCTGATTTAAAAGTTTTATTTTAAAATGTCAATATTTACAGACACCCTCCCCCAAGAAATTACATGCTTTGCAACTACAATGAAAGATTTAGATATCAACTTTAAAAATGTACAAGGAAATATATGGACTTCCAATATTGTGGGGAAGAATATGCAAGCACAAGCTGTGAAGACACTTGATATATCAAATATGTGAAAACAGCCGGTCCATTAATAAGACATGATTAAACAATGGTATAGTAATACATCAGAATATCCAGAAAAGGATATCAACAAGAACGATCTATATTCACTGACAGTGAGCTCTCCCCATACTATTTTAAAAAGTATTTCTATTATTTTAAACTTATTTTCATAAAGATCACTGGTTTTTGTTTTTTAAAATAAGCAGGCTTTAAAATTCTGGTCAATGATAAGCGCTGTAAAAGAATACATCACCATGAGAGCAAAAAAACACCCACCAATCTCTTCCAGCAACTCCAATTTCTCAGATTCCTAGCCATGAGATTAAAATGGAATAAATAAAAAGACAGAGGTAGTTGTTTTTTTTTGTTTGTTTGTTTTTGGTAATTTTCTTTACCAAAAAAAGGGTAGGAAGATTAAGGAATAGAAAAAAACATTAGTTTTCTGAGATTCTCATACTGAATAAACTGTCATATATAAACCAGAGTAATTAATGTAAGCATAAAAGTCAGTTTATCACTGTGGTACCACAATCTCTACATACTTTTGTTAAAAATTTCCATTATTTATTTGTCCTCCAAGTTAGAAGAGATAAATTACAGCAAGTGTTTGCTAACCACAGTAACAAAGGGCAGTGATAATTTATTGAGTGATGAGATGTGTCGATGCTGTGTTAAGTGCTTTATCTACATGAAGGTAATCCTTACAATCGTCCTGTGAGGTGTTAGCACCAATTTACCAAAAAGGAAACTGAGGCACAGAGAGGTTGCATAACTTGACAGAGGTCATATAACTAGTAAATGGTTGGGCTGGATTTCAAACTCAAGTGTCTCACTCTAAAACTCATGTTCTTGACCATTCTCCTGCTTTGTCTTTTTATTCCTTCCAAATAAGTTCACCTCTAATCAATAAAACCTACTGTATATCTAAGGCATTGTGTGTGGGGGGATGGGGCGGAGGGAGGTAACAGCAAAGAGCAAGGACATTCATGGGATTTTCTATCTACTATGATCTCCTTTGGGAGGAAAGAACTATATGCAGCCTAGAGGAAAGGATGGGGGTAGGTATCAGGAGAGGAAAGAGAACTTGACTGAGTGCCTGCTCTGGGTGGTACTTTAATCTTCTTAGCACCCTATGAGATAAATGGTGTTAACACCAATTTTATAGATGACACATCTGGAGCTCAGAGAAACCACATCTCTTGCCTAAGGTCAATACACCATATATGAGAGTAGGGGGGCTGTCCGTATCAACATGCTGTCTTGAGAAACTACCAGTGGGCCAAAGACATACTTAGTACTACAGAAAGGAAGAGCTGTGGGGAAATTAACACTACTTACAGGTGAGATACAGTTCACATTTATAACAACATAAATAATTTGGATACACATATCACAGATAAACTAGACAGTTATATCATCTGTCATATACTTACTTGGAAGAGTCCAATTTATTGGATAGGACAGATTTTAACCACCTATAAATGCTTTCTTTTGTCTGGTATAAAGTAACATAATTTTTTCTGGTATAAGTAACATAATTATTGCAATACATTTTTCCTGTAGTAAATTTAAGTTAATACTTTTTTTCCAGTTGCTCAAAAGATTTATAAATACGTAAGTTTTTTACTCAGAAGATAATTACAGAAATCATAACTTATTGTCAATGCCATTTCTAGGTATATGCCCAGCATCTATATTTCTCTCTCAATTGAACAATGCTGGCACTGGAAGACTTGGTGATACCCTGAAGGAATAATAACATCAATGCAATCACCACCACGAACCTTTTCTCCGCTGTCACTACATGCAGGCGCCGTTCTAAGTACTTTTACATGGATTTCTCAACATCCCTGTCAGGTATTATTATTACCCCCTTTTTACACATGAGGAAACTGAGGTATATGGAGGATAAGGCAGTCTCTCAGAATCACAAAGCTAGAAATTACACCCATGTAATTGTAAACACTATGCTACATTATTCTCAGCAAAATGAACACCATGGCTACGCAAGAACTCGTGTTTTTTTTTCTTTTTCCCTAAATAAAGTGTTTAGAAAGTGTCTGCTCAAGGCTGAAGCTTATGGCCAGATGTGGTGGCTCATATCTATCATTTTAGTATTTTGGGATGCCAAGGTGGGAGGATGACATGAGGCCAGGAGTTCAAGACCAGTCTGGGCAACATAGTGAGACCCCATCTCTATAAATGGGGAGGCTGAGGTGGGTAGGTTTCTAAGTAGCTACCCTGTCTCCACACAGCAGCCATAATGAGCTTTTTAAAACAGGATTCAGATAATATCACTCCTTGGCTCAAAACCCTAAAATACTCTCTCATTTCACTTAAAGGGGGAAAAAACCCAACAAAAACAGTCACTACCACTGCTGAAGGCGCTTCATAATCCAGATCTATTCACCCTCTGACTTCACCTCCACCTCCACCACTCACTCAGCCTCCTGCCTGCTCCACTCCGTTTTTTTTTTTTTTTCAAATTTCTTCTCTCTCTCAAGTTTCCAATCCTGTTCCACTCCTGCCACACTGCCTCAGTGATGCTGTAGGACAACACCCGTTTCCATATCTGAGTTTACCAGTCTAACACCAAGCTCCCCGGACTGGCTCCTCTGTTTCATTTGATTCTTTGCTTAAATGTTACTTTAGCAGAGAGGTTGCCTCCTTAGCCAACCATTCTCTTTCCCTTTTCTTGTTTTGTTATTTCTTCCTAGCATCTGCCACCACATGACATATTATCTCTGTATCTCTTTATTGTCTACCCTCTTCTGAGAAGGATGCAGAGTAAATGAGAGAAGGGGCTTTGCTTGTTCACCGCCGTATCTTCAGTGTTGAGGCCGGTGTCCTGAGCTTAGAAAGGGAGGGAGCGGCTGGATAACTATTTGTTGAAAGAATGAATAAATGAAGTAGCTGAGAGGTAACAGTGGAGTTCAGGCTAAGCTTATTTTTTTTCTTTACTTTGTGTGTGGCAAATACTCTCCAGGAGGAGAAAACACTGCAGGCAAGACAGCAGCAACAAAAAGCACGGGACTGGAACAAATAATTGAAGACTCTGGTTGCCACTCATGGGTGGTATAAATACCACTTGGAATTTACAAAACACACAGGCCCATGCTTACCCACTGAAGAATGAGCTTTAGGAAATAAAGGTAGAGGATGGGCAACCGTATGTTTTAAAGTTCCCCCAAGTCATTCTGATGTCCAATCCCTGTTAAAAGCATGTATTCAGAGAAAGAATCTCAAAAGGCATGTGGTAAAGTATGCAGTAAATAAAATAACACACATTTGTTTTCTTTAAAACCCACATACCTGACTGGGGACTCAAAAATATTGTTGTTTTTTGTTTCTTTTTGTCTTCATGTAAAAGCACTGCCTAAAAAATGAAATAGACTGGTTTACAAAATTGAAAGGAAGAGCATCTGAAACAGCCTTAAAACCGAAACCATATCCAAGGAGAGCTGAAATAAGGCATGTGGGTGGCAGAATTTTGCAAGTTAACTGAAAAGCGAGACCATATGCAGGAGTTCTGAAACAAGGCCCTGCCATCCGGTGCCCAGCAAGCCTCACCACGCACCACACCCACAGACAGAAAGAGTGCTGCAGGTCAGCCACAGGAAGGAGGGCCTGGGCTGTCAGCATGGCGGCAAGGACCTGGCACAGAGCTGAGAGCACTCAGGGAGCATCTCCTGAGTGAACAGATGACAGACACGCCGCCTCCTCGGTTTGAGCTAGGTTTACCTGAACAAATGGACCAGTTGGTTTCAATGGTACAGGTGAGGGGGATCCAAACATACAATCTGATTTAGACATTCCTAAAAAAGAAATTAGCACTTTTTGTCCCTACTTTAAATTGAAAGCAATAGCCCTGTTTTCAAATTTTCACAGAGAGACTGTCTGTTGGTGTGACAGAAGCTCCACTCAGTATATTGTGTGGACAAAGGAGCAATATATCTGAAGAAACAAGAGAGAGCAGCATAAGTTTTAGACAGGAAGAAGCAACTGATTATTTCTTAACTGCCACCAAGGGAAATTTCCTATATCTATCTCCATGCCTCCACTGTCATTTCACGTTTAAAATATGACTACTAACTTTAATGTGTCAAGACTGCATTCGAAAGGGACCACATTTCCAGATAAGTGCTCTTCCTTATGCTTGATAATCCCCCTGCCACCCAGATTCCCCCCTCTTTTTGAGTTGCTGCTGTCCCCCATAGGCTGCCAAAATCACTGTTCTAACTGTTGTGAGAGCTTCCCTAGTAAACAACTTAAAACTTGCTGCTAGCGAGAAAAAAGAAATTCATCAAAGCTGGGGCAAATTCTCCACTTTGTTGTACCAAAGAGGAAGACTGTAATAATGTTTCAGTCATGAGTAATCAATACAGGCTTCCAGTCATTTTGGGAATAATTCTGGGAATACTATTTAAAACTTATCTATACTATTTACAGTTTCCTTACCCATAAAACTGCAGATATTAACGCATTTAATGAAGCTGTTGTAAAAATTAAATGAAATTATCCATGTAAAGTACTTAAATAGTGCCTAACTCATCATGAATGCTCAATGAACGTTAGCAACTATTATTGTAATTTCTTTTACATACATTCTCCTCTTAAAACAACACAAGAAAATCACTTTATTCTGGTATATGTCCCATGTGAGCAGCTAAAGCTGTATCTTTCATAAACATTTAAACCCTACTCTAAAAATAATAGATAAAAAATTTTAAATATTTTTCTTTTCATATAAAGCTCCTTTAAAAAAGAATGGGTATGATCTAAAAATCTCCTGTCTCAAAAAAAGATACACTATATTGCTGAATATGATAAAATAAAATAGAAGAGAGGTATTCTTGTTCCAAGAACTATACACATGGAGTATTTTAAGGAAACTGTAAAGCAGCTGACATTTTACGCTGTCCACAAACATATATATACAACTGAGGATAGCGACAGGATTGACTACTTAAATAGAAAAAAATTACTTCCCAAGATTTCTTTTCTATGCTCATCAAATTTCATCACTTGCACAGTTCTGAGAAGTGAGAAGGTAAATTGTTTTGTAAATCATTACTTATTATACACACACAAGGTACCCTTATAGTTAGTAGTCTGCTTAAAAGGTGCCCACAATAGACATTTCACCCATTTAGCAAAAATGGCCAATTTGTATTTAACAACTCAAAGCGGCCAGATTTGGGGATGGTGTTGTACTAATGATGGCTAATAGATATTTTCTTCATCATAAGAATAATCATGTTCACTTGTAGAAAATCAAAATGACAAAATCTACAGAAAGAAATCTTCCGTAATTCCCCACTGCAGATATACCCACTGCTAACTATGCAGCCTATTTCTTTCTGTTCCCTTTTCTATGCATGTGCCTGTGTGTGGCTCACCTGTGCACAGAGCATGGTGTCCTGAGATAACTCTAGCTACCGCCACCCCTGTGATTTGATTTCACAAGTACATATACCAAGTAGCAAAGCTCAAGTTGCAGCTTCTTTTCTGGTCACTGAGGCTACATTTGCAGGTACCAGGGATGGCTACACTTTCACCTCACTGATAATCTTAGAAAAGTTCACCAAATGACTCTCATAAGACTCTAAGTAAAGCCAGGAATAAGATATATGGAGGATCAACATTAAAGGAGGGGGAAGGGATTTTACTTTCTTGAAAACAAGATCTTTTTTGAGTAAATATATTGATAAAGAAAGATAACTAAAATAGTAAAGAGCTCTAAAAAGGAGATTTCCCTTGAGATGTTAGAGCAAACATCAAGGTGTGATAGGTGTCCATACCTGAAGAGCCTTTAAACTGCGGGCATTCCTTTTTAATGTGCCCTTCTCTTCCACAAATAAAACAACGCTTTTCTCTTAAGTCTTTGTCATCCTGTCTCTTCCATTTTTCCACTGGTGGTCTGAGGATCTTCTCCCTCCCCAGGTCAGCAGCTGCCCGCACTGGCTTGGCTTTCTGAGGTGTGCACTGTATGGGCTTATCTTCTTTTGTTGACACCTCCCTTTCTGTGTATTTGTTGTGAATTTCTTTGTCCTCTTTGCTTCTTTTTTCCTTGTTCTCAGGGTATCTTTGGTTCAGGGCATCTTCCTGATCTCGCCGCCGTCTCACTCTGTAGAAGACATCATATTAGTACCAAAAATCTAAACAGAAGCCTAACAAAATATTAAGGCAATTCCCAAAATATTAAGGCAATTCTAGATTTAAGAGATAACCAGGAATAGAAAGTTTAAAAGGAAAAGCAAGAACCTAAATGAAAATCCATCTTCTCTATTAAGATGTTCCCTCAGGGTTTAAGGGTGCAGTTTTTCTTTTTCATTTTCAAAGTTGCTCTATTGCTGTAAAACCAATAACTGCAATTAGTGGCACTCCTTGGTTGAATGCCTACTTTGACACTGATGTAATGAAAGGCAAATCATACTTGGAGTGATTTCTTGAATGGCCTTTCTGGCACATTAGCATTCTTTCTTTACTAGGCACTGGAAATTTTAGATGTGAAGGCTTAAATTCACAAAGGAACAATGGTTATAAGATTTATAAGATTCATATTCTCAAAACGTCAAAATCATTTCTCCCTTGTCCTAATAATCACCGATTTTTGAGTAATGAAGAAAAGGACTGAAAAAAAGGGCTTCTCAAATTCCAGATGGTAACCTAATTTGAGCACCATGTTTCAAAATATTACTGTACAGTTAAAAACAACACCACTACACCATTACTGTATAGTTAAAAACACCATTACTGTTACCACTATATTACTGTACAGTTAAAAACACCATTACTGTATACCACTACACCATTTACTGTACAGTTAAAAACACCATTACTGTACAGTTAAAAACACCATTACTGTTACCACTATATTACTGTACAGTTAAAAACACCATTACTGTACACCACTACACCATTTACTGTACAGTCAAAAACACCATTACTGTACAGTTAAAAACACCATTACTGTATAGTTAAAAACACCATTACTGTTACCACTATATTACTGTACAGTTAAAAACACCATTACTATACAGTTAACAACACCATTACTGTTACCACTACATTACTGTACAGTTAAAAACACCATTACTATACACCACTACACCATTTACTGTACAGTTAAAAACACCATTACTGTACACCACTATACCATTTACTGTACAGTTAAAAACACCATTACTGTACACCACACCATTTACTGTACAGTTAAAAACACCATTACTATACAGTTAACAACACCATTACTGTTACCACTACATTACTGTACAGTTAAAAACACCATTACTGTACAGTTAAAAACACCACCAAAACAACGTGTCCCAGGCAAGAAAGCAAAAACATGTTTCTCTTCCCTTCCCATAAACGCCACCAGAAGAAAGCATGGTGACTAAACTGCGTGGCTTACCTACTCACAACAATTATTAAGGGTTAAGTGGAATACAAACAAAGAGTGTTAAAATCCAGTGAACTGTTTGTGAATATAAATCCCAACGTGCTGAACAGGTACTGTACATTAGAAACGTCACTGAGCTCCTGAAGGAGCTCCCTTGACTGTTCACTGACTGAAATGATTCTGAACTTCTCACTACTGTAAAAAGAAATTTTGTTTCCTCTTTTCACCATGTTGGCAAGGCTGGTCTTGAACTCCTAGCCTCAAGTGATCCGCCCACCTTGGCCTCCCAAAGTGCTGGGATTACAGGTGTGAGCTACTACACCTGGCTTTTTTTTTTTTTTTGAGACAGAATCTCGCTCTGTTGCCCAGGCTGCAGTGCAATGGTGTGATCTCGGCTCACTGCAATCTCTGCCTCCTGGGGTTCAAGCGATTCTCCAGCCTCAGCCTCCCGAGTAGCTGGGATTACAGGCACCCACCACCATGCCTGGCTAATTTTTAGTAGAGATGGGTCACCATGTTGGTCAGGCTGGTCTTAAACTCCTGACCTCAGGTGATCCACTTGCCTCGGCCTCCCAAAGCGCTGGGATTACAGGCGTGAACCACTGCACCTGGCCTAAAGTCACGTTTTAAATCACTTCATTTCATTAAAAAATAAAATAAAAAACTTAAATGTATCTGAAAACTGCTGGATTTCACACAAGTGTATTTTCTTTGTTATAATAGTACCTCATTTAAAAATTGGGACATTAAGAAAATAAAAACACAACCACCCCTTTTGAACATTTACTTACTTCCTCCTCATAGGACAGTCTTTCATAAAGTGTCCGATTTTCCCACAAATTCGACAACATCTATCATTTGGGGCCAGCTCTCCTTCAGTTAACACATCTGGATCAAAAAAGTATTCCTAGAAGAACATAAATATATAAAAGTCTGAACTATTCATGTGAGATTGGAACACAAAACTAACCAGATATTAAACAGTCATCTTACAATTCAATGTTGATATAACATTACTTTTAATAAATATTATTTATACTGCTTAATTCCAAACAAAATCTAAAACCATCGAGGTCTAACTCAGGATAGTTTTAACTAAATCCATTTTTGTTTATTTCTTTTAGTCATGCAGAGCACTCATGAGCCAGAACCCTAAAGGTTTAAGCACACTTCTAAAGAAGCAGATTACACATCCCTGTGAGTCAGTTTTCCCAGGATGTGGGAGGGAGTTGAGGCCAGGTACAAAGGCTTTGTCTCCTGATCACATGAAAAGGCTAAAACCTAAAGAATTGAGAAACATGATTTGCATTACACAGATCATATTGAAGAAAAGAAAAAAAAAACAAACTATGTGTTGCTACTTCGCTTCGTTGTGGCTACCGAACGAAAAATAACAGAACAAAGGAAAGATAATGGTCTAGCCTGTAGCCTCTTTGTACTAAAATTAAGGTGGAGGCCAGCAACATGAGCATCCCCAGGGAGCTCGCTGGAAAAGCAGTCTTGAGCCTGATCTTAGACTTGCTGAATCAGAATCCGCACTTTAACAAAATCCTCAGGTGATTTGTTCTAACAAGTTTCAGAAGCACTGGTGTAGAAGCCACATCAATATCTAGCAAAAACCAGATGTACAGATGTAATCAAACACTGAATGTGCCTATAAAACAAAACACTTACGCTAAATTTTAAATGTCTTCCCTGGGAGGAGAGAGGGAATAGGGGGTTGTTGGTCAAAGGGTACAAAGTTTCAGATACACAGGAGGAATAAGTTTTGAGATCTGTTGCACAGCAGGGTGACTATAGTCAATAACAATGCATATTTCAAGATAATTAAGAGTAAATCTCAAATGTCTCCCCACAAAAAATGGTGAGGTGATATATGTTAATTAACTTGAATTCATCATTCCATATACATGTATCAAATCATCACGTTGTACTCCCTAAATTATATGTCAATTAAAAATAACATTAAAAAGTCTTTATAAGGAAATTAATGCAGAAAAACCTAACATTATTCTTAACAAGGCCATCTAGTCCCTAGCCATTTTTCTCTCACTGAAGTTATTTTTTTGACACAATTCTGCTTTGTTTTCAATAAATGTGGTTCCTTAAAAACTCGAGTATCAAGTTATATGAGAAGAGATACCTGTCTGCTACAGGAAGCACTGTTATCCCCCTAGTCCCAGCAGAAGATTTACTACTTTTTGCAAGCAGATTGGAAAATCTAGATTCTAGATATGTACAAACTGGGCTTGGCCAAGGCCGGCATCCAGCCAAATGCTGGCGGAACAGCAATGCATCTATGAAGGCTAGCACAGATAACCAGGAAAAAAAAAAAGGTATCAAAGAGGAAAACAAGAATGGAACAACCTTAAATCCATCTTCTCTATCAGGAAGCTACCTCGGGCGTTAGAATGTAGCTTTACTTCCTTTCTGTTTTCGAAGTTGCTCTAGAGCTGGTACATATCTCCCTGGTGCCATGTTACAAGGAAAAGCAGCAGCAGCAAAATTAATAATTTTTCCACCCAAACTCCAATTCTTGCTATTTCTCTCTATTCTGATGGCCTTTACCCAGGGATGTTTAAGAAAAGGGGGGGCTCTGGGAATTATTCTGTACTATAGTTATTTGTTTTGGCTAGACTCACCGACTTTCTAAATATTTAAGTTACTACTGAAGTGATGTGTACATATTAGGCACCCTTTTTTTTTTTTTTTTTTGGTATTTCCAACAGACACTTACCATTTTTGAAGGGTAGTCCTTTGGAAATCCCTTGACAGGAATACCAAATACTCTTCTACCATTGATAAAAGCCTTCATTATAAAATTTGTCACTAAAAAGAAGAGTCAGAACTCAATGAGATGGGTTAAAAGGAAAAGAGATTGTATTACAAATGACAAACTACCTGGGCCTGGTGGCGCCCGTTATTCTAGCACTCTGGGAGGCTGGGGTAGGAGGATCACTTGAGCCCAGGAGTTTGAGACTAGCCTGGCCAACAAAAGCAAGACCCTGTCTCTATTATAAAAGTAAATAAATAAGTAAAATAAAAAATAAAATGACAAATGAAGTAACTTACTTTTTCTTGATAACCCAGCTCCAAGATTATGATTCAAATCAAAGGGATCTAGGCAAAAAAATTTAAGAGCAAATAAGGTAATCAAATAGAAAATGCCACCATTCATGCAATAAGTGAAGTTCATAAAACAAGACAAGGATATCATCTACTTTGCTTATCATTAATAAGTTTTAAATTCACATCATAGAAAAGTGCAAAAAAAAGTTTTAAATGACACCTGTTAAATGAGCTTAAAAGTTATAATAAAGCTAAGCAATACTTATTCCTAAACATAAGGCAAGTTTTTCCACTACAGTGTTCATCAGAATAGAGGGTACTGCTTTACATTTAAATCATTATAAAGCTCTTTATGTTACGATTGGCTGCCTATTTTTGAACAAAATACTGTTTGCAGAAGACACATTAGCCTGATATTACTTAATGACACTAGTTTTGGATGTATATAGAAGTTATAAATACATTTAAAACATTTTAGCACTAAACGTTCCCACTATGTAACAAGTTTCTTAAAGATCACTTTAGAAAATAATTCATCATGGAGATTACAAAACACACTTATAAGATAAAACACACAGAAATATACATCTGTCCCAGTGGCATGCCATTGGCTACCTGGATCTCGGGATACAATTTCCAGTAAAAGCTTAATACAGACTCTCATTTGATCTTATATGTCTGCATCTCAAACATCTTACATAGCTGTAGATATGATGTGTTTTGGAATATTGTTTGTTAAATAACCCAGGAAATGGTAGGAATGATGAAGCTAATGTCAAAGATGTATGAGAGGTCTGAATAAACTGTCTCATGAAATAAATGGGGTTAAAAGCACTATTTCTAAACCCAAATACTGTTTTATAAGTGATCTAAAATAATATACACCCATAATGATTCATAATTTAGACATTATGTGTAGATCTCTAACTTCTATTTTTTACATCCCTAAAACAATATTCAAGAAGGCAAAGAGAAAAAAGTGATGACCTTTTTTCGGGAATCCTCTTACTGAGAAAATGAAGGACTGCATGGATATAGTATACACAAGAGAAGTAAAAAGAGGCATCTTCCACTAGCCAGTTACGCTGCTAGTGAACAGTAACATGTGTACCATATTGAGATTGAGACTAAGTTTATCGAAGTATAGGACCCTTCCTTCAGCTTAACCCTGCAATAATCACTTTTAAGAGAAGGTTACCTTCATCAGTTTGGTCATTCTTTCTTCAAGTGATTTTTATATGTGCATGTGTATTTTTGGTTATTTGCTTGGTGTAGTGGAGATACTACAGTATTAGTTACTGTGCAGTTAAAGAAACTACTACTGGTTGGGTGCTGTGGCTCACGCCTGTAATCCCAGCACTTTGGGAGGTTGAGGTGGGCTAATCACCTGAGGTCAAGAGTTCGAGACCAGCCTGGCCAACATGGTGAAACACTGTCTCTACTAAAAATACAAAACTTAGCCAGGCGTGGTGGCGTGTGCCTGTAGTCCCAGCTACTCTACAGGCTGATGACAGGAGAACCCAGGAATGTGAACCCAGGAGGCGAAGGGTGCAGTGACCTGAGATCCTGCCATTACACTCCAGCCTGGGCGACACAGTGAGACTCCGTCCCCGACAAAAACAAAAGCAAATGACTACTATCACCACTGAAATGCCTCATTTCTAAAATAGCTGGTTATATGATTATGAATAAAGTCTTCTTTTTAGTTTAGCCTATTACTAACAGCTTGTCTGAAAGTAATGTAAAAATTAGAGGCAAAAGATAATAACCTTCAAAACTTAAAAAAGAATACATTAATAGGCTGGGTGCAGTGGCTCACACCTGTAATCCCAGCACTTTGGGAGGCGGAACTGGGCGGATCACCTGAGGTCAGGAGTTTGAAACTAGCCTAGCCAACATGGTGAAACCCCGTCTCTACTAAAAATACAAAAAAATTAGCCAGGCGTGGTGGCGCATGCCTGTAATCCCAGCTACTTGGGAGGCTGAGGCACGAGAATCACTTGAACTGGGGAGGTGGAGGTTGCAATGAGCCAAGACCACGCCATTGTACTCCAGCCTGGAAGACAGAGCGAAACTGTCTTAAGAAAAAAAAAGGAATACCTTAATAAGTGACAGATGATAAGAACTGCAGTAATAACGAAAAGGAGTAAGTCAAAAGTTCTATGTGTTTGACACATGAGATTTTAAAAAATCAAAACTGTATTTGTAACCCATGGTGATCTGAATTTCATTTTACAAAAGTTCATTGTATTTTAATACTGCCAGTATGCAGAAATAATAATAAAACCACAACTTAGAATAGTCCATATTATTTATGTGATACAAATATATTTAAAAATTTAAAAATCTCATTAAAATTAAAAAAAAATATTTCTTAGGTCATTTCTCAACTAAGGCATTTAAATTCCATTTTGTCTCAAAATAAGAATCCCACAAATTGGAAATAAACAATCAACTATTAGCATCAACGGCTCCAATAGATCACTACCTTTAACAGAAAAAGAAAAGGTGGCCAGGCGCAGTGGCTCACGCCTGTAATCCCAGCACTTTGGGAGGTGGAGGTGGGTGATCACCTGAGGTCAGGAGTTCGAGACCAGCCTGGCCAACATGGTGAAACCCCGTCTCTACTAGAAGTACAACAATTTAGCTGGTTGTGGTGGCAGGCACCTGTAATCCCAACTACTCAGGTGGCTAAGGCAGGAGAATTCCTTGAACCTGGGAGGTGGAGGTTGCAGTGAGCTGAGATAGCGCTACTGCACTCCAGCCTGGGCAACAAGAGTGAAATTCCATCTCAAAAAATAAAAAAATAGAAAAAGAAAAGGCTTCCATATGGTTAAAATAAATGTCAAAATTTATGTACAATTACTTATAGGTGAACTCCATCAATAGTGAATGAAGATCTTGAAAATTCACTTAGTGGCACTCTTCAAACCCCCAAACAGGAAGGTTGTAAAAGTCCTACTTTCTTGAAGCTGCCTTATCACTACTGCTGCCTTATTCTTCAGTATGTTATGTGTCCAACAATAGTAAAAAATTTGTCACGGTGAAATGGCTTCAGTCATTTAAAAACAAATCTTTAGGCTGGAAAGAGACAAGTTGGCCTGGTATGGACAATGAGACTGGGGCACTGCACACCCCAAGCAGCTGGAAGAGCTCTGCAAGGAGGAAGAACAATGTCCTTATAGTTCAAGCTCTATAGTCTATTCAGCTTCAAGTTTACTTGTATTCGTACCTTCAATAACAATGTATTTTGAAGTCCACTGTTTCTTAAAAGTTGTAAGCAGACTTTTTCTCCTGATGCTAATAACATGTTCTTTAAAATCAAATTCCTCCGTGTAGAAACGAAGAAGGCCCAACCATAACTGCCCAACAGATTCGGTGTTTTTTCCACATTCTGGCCAATAGGCAGGCTAGAAATAGAAGGAAACAAGGGACACCATGGTCTTTAGTGAAGTGTTAATATCAATATTCATTTGTATCTTAGGGAGTAAATTTGGATTTATTTCTAATTAACTAGAGCTCAATTATACAACTTTTAATCTTTACTCTACGACTTGGAGATAGACGAGCTCAGAGTTTTCAGTGTCAAGTTTCAGAACACGTTAGTCGGAGGATCCAGAAATAGATTCTAAGAGCCTTGGTGATACGTAGGTTATTAGACCTCTTTAGTTCAGTGAAAGTCTTTCTAAACTCTGGGTACAAAAACCATAGAACAAATATTCATTCACTTGGAATAAAGTTACTTAACCACTTGGAATTATTAGGCATTAAAGAAATACTAGATATAATCCCTAGAAATTCACTTGGCTTAGTAAAAATATTTTCACGTCAAAGAAAACATCGGTAAACACTATTTTTTTTTACTATCATAAGATAAATAAATACAACAAGCAATAAAATAGTTGTTGGCCATCTACACTGTAGTATAGCTAATTTTTAGTCAAAGATATAGGAAAATCTTTACTCTTAAAATACGTACCAGTTCATCTATTTGATCAAAAAAATAAATATTCCAGCCATCAACAAATATTTCAGGTTTCTTTTCACCTTTGTATATCTGAAATTAATTTTTAAACTATTAGTATGGATTACAAACTTAATGCATTGATACAAAAACTTCTAGGAAAATAGGTAAAAAATTAACTACAGAACCACAGAATTTTAGAGGAGGAGAAAGGCTCAGAGATCACCCAGTTTTCCAGAGAAGAAATACAATTTCATTCACTAATACCTCTTGAAGGACAGGAATGACTGGTGGATTCCTCTGCTGGAGAAAATATAGCACCATAAGAGTATATGCATATGATGATAAGCTGCCTCTAGATGCATCACCAATATCACACATCTAGACGGAAGGAAAACAAAAAAGGAAAACAAAGAACAAAGGAAAAGTCTGTTTTCTGCTAACTTTGCATCCATTCTATTATCACTAAAAGTAAAGTGCATATGTTGAGGACTAATACAAAAATCACATTTTCAAAGGCAAAACCAATCCAACCTAGCAAAGCAGTGGACAGTTGGCTACAGGCAAGTTCAGGTCATAGCAAAAAATTCCTAACAAAATTTTAGCTTTCTTCATAGGGTCTCCCAAATAGCTACATGATGCATTTCACATGATTATAGTTCATTAAAAAATAGATTTATGTTTTCAACAGTGTTTAAAGATGCAATGAAATTTCCTGATAAGTCACAATAGGAAGCATACTCACCTTTGTAAATACTTTCATGGTATAGCACAAATACTTCACTCTGGGATCAATGGCGGAATAAGCAGATAAAAGCCTTGTGTTATGAAGGGCCTGTTAAAAGGAAATAACACTATAAGACTAACAATGAAGTGCAAAGGGTTTTTTTGTGTGTTTTTTTGTGGTGGTTGTTTTAAATAATGGAGATGGGATCTCACTATGTTGCCCAGGCTGGTGATGAACTCCTGGGCTCAAGTGATCCTCCCCTATCAGCCTCCCAAAGTGCTGGGATTACAAGCATGAGCCACCAGGCGAGCCTAGATGAAAAGATTTTAAGCTGGAATATTCTAAATAGGTTTACAGTGTGATTTATTTTAGGAAGAAGACATTTCAACTGAAATTAACCTTTTTTTTTTTTCCTAAAGACAATCTTCATTAACTTACTAGACAATAATAAAGAATTATAAGTAACATCTGACCTCATGGCTTTTGTACGTCCTTGGTCTGAACATCTAGAAGATAAGGGCTGGCGAATAAACAATCAGTTCCCTTTCAGTAGACATAAGATCTCTCTGCAAAAACACCCACAAAGGGTCAGAGATGTCCTATAAATCCCTGAAACATATCTGAATTATCTTTGAATTCTCAGCCTCAGAACACTGCCAGGTTCACAGCAAGTAAGCATAACAACTCTTGAATTGACTAAGATGAAATGAATGTCTTCTTTAACTTGAGGTTTCTGCAAGGTGAGACATTTGTTCCCTTTATCTCTTTAAACAAAAAGCCTGAAAAAAACCTTACCAATGTGTTATACAAACTGATATCTACTTCCAGACCACTTCTCAAATGGAAGAACTTCACAATTGGCACCTTTGCTGTTGTAATAGGTAAGATGTTTCTCAGACCTAAGTTGGAAAATAAAATGTTATCATTAAATACAGCAGCTGGAGATATAAGTCACTCTTATGTTAATGTTTCAATATTAAATGGTGTAAACCTAACTTTGGCCTGTTTCATTGCATTCATTAGGACTCATCAAAGAATTCCATTATTAACAAACATCTGGGAAGATTAGTCTGGCAAAGTTTACATCTATTAAACACACTGATACTAGAACTACAAGACTCAGTCACTCCCCTCTGGGAACTTACTGGATCGTATATACACACATGTGTGCATGTGTGTACATGCATGTGTATACGGCTGTCAGTCAGACAAATACCAAAACAGAGGATACTACTACAGAGTCTGAACTATGTGGTTCCCACCTATTTTCTCCATGTGACTATACCTAATTTGGAGAAAAGCCTAAGGGACAATCATCCTCCAAACAAGTTGCTCACCTTAAAGCTAGAAGTTATGAAGTTAATAGGAATTAATTTCAATAGGAGAGAGGAAACTGCCTGAGCTAAGCTTTGAAAAACAGAGAAAAACCAGCAAAAATAGTGGCAGTTGAGGGAATTTACCAGGCAAGGCAAACTGTACACAAAAAGCGTAGATGCCTGAAATAGAAAGGTATGTTCAGGGAAGTTCCAGAGAATTGTATAGGTTACAGAATGAACATGAGGGAATGGAATATGAGGCATAGGAGATGGTGGAGAAACTGGGAAGGGCCCAACTACAGAACATACACATTTTGCTAAGAATTATCCTTAGAATCAAAGAGGAGCCGATGAACTGGTCTAAGCTGGGAGGAATCACTGACCACATCTAGTCAGACAATACCCCTGGCAGTGGACGGACTGGAGGCACCAGGAATAGAGGCAGGGTGACCACTTATGAAAAATAACTGGGTGTGAACTTTCATGGTGGCATGGGAATACACAGCAGAAGCAAGGCATGTTTGAGAGCATCTGTAACTGTGTGGGGAGCAAGAGCTAATAAGAGAGGATCAGGGCTTTAAGAGTAAGTGCTACCACTTCCTGAGCACCTAATGTGTGATAGGGATATGTAAGACTCCTTTACAAACATTACATCCTTAGGTTTATCACCCTCATCTGTAAGATGAGGAAACAGAGACCCAGAAAGATTCACAAGCTTAGGAATATGCAGCTGGTAAATTGTGGAGCTGGAATTGAAATCTAGGTAAGATTGACTCCCAACTTACACTGCACTTAGTGTGGGTCAGGCTAATTATCATTTCACCCGTTTTGTTGATTCCAAGGATGCCAATATCAACAACCATGAAAGAGGATTCAGAAGGAAGGGCAGATTAACGGAGTTGGTTGCTGCTGAAGGGAAGCAGTAAAGCGAAAGACAAGCTCATTCTGAGATGTCAGAGTTTGAGTTTCTACTGAGAGAGCTAAGTGGTGGTTTCTAGAAAGCAGATACATAGTAATCATATCATAGAACACAGGACAAAATAAGTAGGTAGAAGACATTTCAGGAAAGAATCTGTGTGGCAGACAGAGGAAATGAAACAATCTGATGGGGAAAGGGGGCAAGGAAGCTCATTTTGCTGAATACTTAGAATATGCTAGGCTTTGCACTTTAACATATTATCGTTCTTAAACTCAAATGCCATAGAATTGTTATTTCCACTTTAGAGATGAGGAACTGAGTGCTTGTTATGAAGCTGAGTGACTTTCGGGGATTGCACAGCCAGCAAGGGGGAGATGGAATTTAAAACCAGAGTCTGATTCCAGAACCTCCACCTAGTATTTGCTATCCCACCTCTAAATTAGACAGGGGCCCTTTTCTTCATATCCTTCCCATTCTGGAATTTGACACTGTTGATCATTATAACACTTCCAAGTCTAGGATTTATTCACAGCATATATTCCCAGTTCCTTTTCAGTCTCTTTTCTTAATTCCTATTTAGTCTCTTTCTCTCAATCTCTCTCTTTTTCTCCAAGGCTTTCAATGCAAAAAAACAGTTTTATTTTCATCTTCAATTCTGACTGGCAACCCCATATTTCTAATTGCTTTCTGGAATGTTAACTCTTGCGAGATTATATGCTCATGGCAAACTAAACACTTCCACACAGGAGGTTCTCTGCAAATATTCCTGGTTCTCAAATACCCAGATATCCACCTCAGTCCTTACTTCCTACTTGTAGGTACCAAATCTAGGAAATTTTCCCACTTGGAATCTCTCATATCGTTTTCCTGTTAGTACCAGTGGCACCCTGGCTGAGGTCCTGCTGCCCTGTCATCTAGATTACACTTTCCCTAAAAGACCACATCAGCTGCCTAAAAACCTTATGTTATGCTTTTATTGGGTCCTTTCCCTCCTGAAGAAACTCCAGTGTTTCCAAATATCTACAGACTTCACCTTATCTCCTAATATTTCCCATTTGAAAATCTCCAAATGTACCAGTCTTCTCACTGCTCTCCAAAATATCCCACAGTCTCACATTCACATCTATGCACTTAGAAATGATTTCTTTTCCCATCCTTTTCAAATCATATTCACCATCATCCGAGATCAGAGCAACCTCCATCTCTTTCATCAACCTCCCCTGTGCAACTCTTTCCCACATTCTCTCTTCTTAGAAGTTATTTAACTGAATATTACCTTACATTGTTACATAGTTTGGAAGATTACCTTACCTCTTAAGATATGGAAGCTTTCAAAAGAAAAACATATAGATTTTTTAACTTTTCCACCATCCCTAAGTATCCAACACAGTGTTGTGCACATAGGAGGCACCCAATAAAATACCTGGGGAGACTGTTGCAAAGATACGAAGTTTTAAACACAGCTCTCTAGTTGTTATGAAATTCTTGTTCCAGGCAATCTGCATTCCATTATTATTATACATCATCTGTGTGCCTAAGTCATTTCTAATCTAAAAATGATCTGTTTTTAACATTGTTCCTTCTTAGGAAATATATACTGAGGTATTTAGGGGAAAGGACATAATGTCTGCAGCTTAATCTCAAATGGTACAGGAAGAAATTGAGAGCAAGCAAAAGATGGAATGATGAATCAAATATGGAAAATGTTAATTGGTGGATCTGAATAAAAGCTATATGTGGAACTCTTTATGCAACTTTTGCTGCTTTCCTTTAAATGTGAAATTAAATTATTTCAAAACACAAAGTTATAAACCTAGCTCAATACTAAAAAATTAATAGTCATGCTAACATAGTACTTTAGTTTCTTTGCATGACCTTCAAAACAAAACTAAACAAAACAAAACACATGATCTTTAGAGGTGGAATTTCCAAGTTAAGGGAAATGTTTACTTCAATGACCAAAGAAAAGTATGTGTGTGTCTAGGTGTCAGGGCACGTTCATGCTGTGACTTAAAGTCTGTTCCTAACCAAAATGTACAAAAACTTTTCATGGACAGACCATGGATTTTAAGTTCCTGAGGACAGGGGCCATACATTGTTCACTTTCATTCTCAGTTCTTAGCACAGAAGTTTGCTGAACTACATTTTAAAAGAAGATTTTTCACTGTTAACGGTCTCCACAGCTGCCATGACCACAAAAGGATATGTTAACAGCATTTCAAGTCTGTGCATGGTTTACAAAATCTATACATTTTATAGCTGTAAATACTCTAGAAATTACCCAGTTCAGTTTTCTCAATTTATCAATGAAAAAAAGAGATCAGGCCAGGCGTAGTGGCTCACACCTGTAATCCCAGCACTTTGGGAGGCCAAGGCAGGAGGATCACTTGAGCCCAGGAGTTCAGAGACTAGCCTGGACAACCTAGCAAGATCCAATTTCTTAAAAAAAGAGATCACTTCAAGTGAAGGACTTGTTCATGGTCACACACAGCTTGTTGAGCAGAACAGCTGCAAATTCAACCCATAAGCCCAGTGTGGGGTGCTTTCCTTGACACTTCACACCATCAGCAACTCCTACACTTTGACTTACACAATGCCAACAAAGGAAAATAATTTACAGACTTTCTTGCCTGTCTGGTGTAGGCTTTGTCTTGAAATAAAACTGAGCTAGGCAACAATATGCACATAAATTATCACCAATTCCTCAGTCTTTCATACTTAAGCATACAAGATTTTAAAAAGACATTAATATTGCAATTATTCCATGAATGCGCCACTATACTGCTTCATGGCATTAGTAAACTCTAAATACAATTGGCCTTTCATGTCTGTGGGTCCTGCATCCCCATATCCAATCAAATACGAACCAAAAATATTTGAGGGAAAAAAGCAACTAATAAAAAAACTAACGCTACAACAATAAAAAATAATACAAATAAAAAATCCAGTATAACACTATTTATATAGTATTTACACTGTATTAGATATTATAAGTAACCCAGAGATGACTAGAAGTATATGGAAGGATGTATACAGGTTATATGCAAATACTATGCCATTTTATTTTATTTTATTTTTTATTATACTTTAAGTTCTAGGGTACATGTGCACAACGTGCAGGTTTGTTACATATGTATACATGTGCCATGTTGGTGTGCTGCACCCATTAACTCATCATTTACATTAGGTATATCTGCCATTTTATATAAGGAACTTGAGCATCTAGGGATTTTTTTTAATCTGCTGGGGAAGGGAGGGGTGAGGGGCGATGGGTGGGCCTGGAACTAATACCCCATGGATACCGAGGGAAGACTATATAAAACACTAATTAAAAGTCAGAAATATTTTTAGAAAAAGTTTACAGAGGTACCTGAATGTTTTCTGAGGACTCTTGCTAATTCTTCAATAGTTCTGACACAGTCCAATCCCTGCAACAAAGAAGGCACAAAGAACTTAACCAAAACTGGAAGACAGGTTCTGAAACTGGCTATAGTTTCCATTACCTTCAGAAATAATGTAATTAATTTCACGTCAGTCTATATATATATTTTTCCTTTCTAGTTGGGTACTAGAGTCAGTATTCACAGGAAATATCCTGAGGGTACAAAAACCACTAAATACCCTACTTCCTAATTATTTTTGGGTGTGCAACAAAGGCTAAACTCAGTCAGGAAGTCTACGGACCCAGGGCTTCCAAAAAAGTCTCTGAACCATGGCTGAGGACCTTCATTTATTCCCCTCCACATAATATCACTCGGATGTACCCCACGTCCCAGAATAGATAAGAGGAGGCTTCTGTGCCCCAGCTCATTTATTCTAAGTAGACCTTCATTATGGTTTAAGAGTTGATGAATTGCTGTGGAGAGTGATTAAGCTCAAATTATTTCCCTACAGGACTAGCCAGAATTATAATGTATATAACTAAAGTCATACAGCAAATACAAATAGTATCTCAAATAAATCATTCTTTAAAATATTTGGGCTGACTCTATCAACATACGCCTTTTTGATGGTTATAAAAATCCCAGAACATACTAAGAATGTTACTTTAGAAATGCCCTCAAAACTAGTTTATAAGCCATGTAAAAAAGTGAATAAATAAATAAATCTTGAGGATGTATGATAGGGTCATTCCATATGTTGAGCCAATCTTGCTTATATACTTTATTCAAATTCAGGCTAGATCACTTTTGACTATTTTCCCAAATCAGATACATCCTCAAAATAGAAAGACTTGAAACTAAGAAAAGGTACAAAAAGGCCTTCAGCAACAGCAGCATCATTCATTTGGATATCTAGCATTTGGACTGCTGTTAAGGATTTAAAAGAATAGGGACTCAGCACTTCCCAGACTTTATAACTTTATATAGCGTTTTATATTTTATAAATGCCTTCAGATATCCCAGGGGCTGGCAAGCTTGTTTTGCTTTGCGTGCCATATGGTCTCTTACAACTACTAAACTCTGCACTTACAAAGTGAAAGCAGCCATAGACATTACATATGTGAATGGGTGTGATTCTGTTCCAATAAAACTTTATTTACAAAAACAGGCAGTGGGGGGCTGACGTTAGCCCAAGGGACATCGTTTGCTGACTCCTGACCTACATGATCCATGATGATGTGTACAAAAATCAGCAGAGGCAGGAGGAACAGATATTATTCTTTATCGATTATTTACCAAAGACCACATGTTTAGGTACTGATGAAACCAAGTTTGTCTCAAATCCAGGTCTCTGGACTATAAGGTTAAGTACTCTTACCATTTACCACACTGCCTGTCTGGTAATAAACTTTATAGATAACCTTATGTGGGCGTGTGATCCAAGTCAGCACAGTAGCCAAGCCAACGGGACACTGAGAGATTGGTTTGGCTATGTAGAATTCCCAGGCATCACTTTCCAATCCACTTTTTGCTACAGGGTGAAAATAACCTTTCTACTCCTCACATTCCTCACAACCTTTCTAAGCTTCTTAATGTATTTGGCCAGAGACTGTGCCAAACAGCACACTCTATATGGTATGCCCTGATCAATTTGGAAAATACCAAGCTGCAATGTCAGTCTAGATTGGTTAAATCACACTGCCACAGCAAATGGAAGTTTTATGTGGTCACTGTACCTCAGCAGTTTCAAGTCCATTAATTGTCATACAGACGTCAAGGTCACTCTGTTTGAACCCAAATCCATTTTTGGAGGAGCCAAACAGGCTCAATTTAGTTCCTGTTAGGGATATATGAAAAGTAATAACTAATTACCTGAGTACATTTAATTTTTGATCAAAATGGCCCTTTCATGAATCAAACACACCCAGTTGTTTAACTGTCCTATGTTAATCTCACACTTATGCTCTCTGATTAACTGGGCATTTATTCTAAAATCTTTTTCTCTCAAAGCTTCCCTTACATACAAGCTGTATATGGCAACAAAGATTACCAGGTGCTTCTTTATTCTTAAATGCAAAGACATTTCAAGGAAAATGTTAGATCACCTCAACACATTTAATAATGTAAACTTAGTTTTGACTCTAAACACAGTATTCAGTGAAATTCACTAGGCACTTGCTAGAATAAACCCTATACTGTTTCTGTCGGTAAACGAGGATTTGGCAGACCAAGGACCATCCTGGGTATATCACAAAACGACGGAAACCCTGATTCTCAAAATCAGTGTGCTTATAACACAAGAACTCATTTGGAAGAAAGGTCACACTACTTTTCTTAAAAATAAAAAATAAATCATTTACCTGGAAAGTCTTGTCTTATGAAACTTTCTAGGTTTTGCCGAATATGTTCACGAGCCTGTTCTTCTATAATTGTTGGAGAAAAATCCTCTGTTTAAAGATAAACAGACATATTGACAAGATAAGACTGTTGACGCTCTTAGAAAAAGCTGAAAAAAAATTATCTTTTAGAAAATAAAACTTATAAGCTTAAACTTTAAAATTCCTAAATTGTTGTATCTTCTCAGTAGACAGCATTAACAAGGTAAAATTTGTTTTTTATTTTTGAGACAAGGTCTGGCCCTGTTGGCCAGGCTGCAGTGAAGCAGTGTGATCTTAGCTTACTGCAACCTCTGCCTCCCAGCCTCAAGTCATCCTCCCACCTCAGCCTCCCGAGTAGCTGGGACTACAGGCATGTACCACCATATCTGGCTAGTTTTTTAACAGTAATGTAAAATTTAAAATATCCTTTTTGAAAGAATCTAAGAAGTGCTCTTGAAATGGAAAGTAATTTAAACAGGGGATCTCCACCTGGGTTTCCTGAAAGACACCCAGGGTTACAGAAAGGGCCTTCAGGGATCACCACCCCATTAAAGTGGGAATTTAAAAGTTTGTGAGCATTTGCATGTATTTTTTTTCCCTAAGGAGAACCTAGTTTTTTTGCAGTTCATAATATCAAAAAAAAAAAAAAAAGTTTCAAAAAAAAAAAAAAAGCACTGGTTAAGAACATGTGTGTTCTGGCACAGGTGAACAACTATGATGGAACCATGTGAAACAAGCTCCTTCATTTTAAGCAGCTGAGCATCTCTCCTTTAAATGTTTTCTTTTTGTAAAACTTTAAGCCTCTCTACACCAATGCTTCCCCAAACTCGTGTTCCTTAAAGGGCTGTTATGTAGGCTAGTAATTAGTGTTACTCAAAAAGTATTCTATGTTCAAATTTTAGAAATAATATTTCTCAGATGCCTTCATTATGCTAATGTGTCCTGGAAATCTCCAAAGGAGATCGACCGTCCCTAAGAGAGAAGGGAGTGTGTAGTGTTATTCCCTACTTGGCCTGGGTATACTTCTGGTGATGAAATATTATTCACTGCATCTAGAAAATCATTTCAAAGGATGCCAGTTGGGAAATGCTAGTACTCTGATTTTAAGACCTACAAAGATCCTCAGCAAGGCAACTTTTGGCCCCTCACAGAGACAGTATTTTGAAATTCATATTGAGATTTTACCCTCTCTTCCAACCATTTTGGGAAAATTATGAACTGAGACTCTTCAGAAAATATCTTTTTTCTGGAAGAAAATGTCCCTCCCTTATCTTCATCCTTACTTTGTATCCTGGCTTATAACAGGCCATCCATTTTTGTAGCAAACTTTTCAAAAACTATTATATAACCTGGTCCCTTCTTTCTGGGGCCTGGATCTGCTTACACAGCAGGAGGAATAATGCCACCAACCTTTACAGAGCCCAACTAGCCAGGAAAGTGTATCCAGGCTTCAAGTAACTTGAATTTTAAATTTTGGCCAGGCGCAGTGGCTCACGCCTGTAATCCCAGCACTTTGCGAGGTCGAGGCGAGCAGATTACTGGAGGTCGGGAGTTTGAGACCTGCCTAGCCAATATGGTGAAACACCATCTCTACTTAAAAAAAAAAAAAAAAAAATTAGCCGGGCATGGTGGTGCATGACTGTAATCCCAGCTACTCAAGAGGCTGAGGCAGGAGAACTGCTTGAACCCAGGAGGCGGAGGCTGCAGTGAGCTGAGATCGCACCACTGCACTCCAGCCTGGGTGACAGGGCTAGAATTCATCTCAAAACAAACAAACAAAAAAAATTTTTTTTTCTTGGCAGAGTAATGGAAAATTTAAATGGGGTAAGATATTTAATATTTAATACTAAGCTTTAAAAAGAAACCTGCTGGCCGGGTGCCATAGCTCAAGTCTGCAATCCCAGCTCTTTGGGAGACGGAGCTGTGTGAATCACTTGAGGTCAGGAGTTTGAGACCAGCCTGACCAACATGGCAAAACCCTGTATCTACAAAAAGTATAAGAATGAGCTGGGTGTGGTGATGCACACCTGTAATACCAGCTAGTTGGGTGGCTGAGGCAGAAGAATTGCTTGAACCCAGGAGTTAGAGGCTGTGGAGAGCTGATATCTTACCACTGCATTCCAGTCTGGGGGACAGAGCAAGACCCTGTCTCCCTATCACCCTCCAAAAAAAGAAACCTGCTATGATTGCTATATATCTTGATGCAACAACTATGCTGTTAATAAAAGAAAATACAGAAGACACTTGAAAAATAAGATCCTCCATTTGCTTGAGCCCAGGAGTTCAAGACTAGCCTGGGTAACACAGGGAAACTGTCTCTCTACAAATAATGAAAACATTAGTCAGACATAGTGGCATGCATCTGTGCTCCCAGCTACTTGGGAGGCTGAGGTGAGAGGATCACTTTAGCCTGGGAGGTCGAGGCTGCAGTGACTCATGACTGCTCTGCTACACTCCAGCCTGGGTGGCAGAGTGAGATCCTGTCTCAAAAAATTAAAAAAATTAAAAATAAAAAAGATCCTCCCTGTATCTTTCCTCATCTTTCTTTGACAATTACTGCATGTCCCAAACAGAACAGACATGACATGGAACACTTGTGGATACAATGGAGAATGGAATAGACTTGTTCCCTATTAGTGTTTAGAGACCTAAATAGGATAGTGATTCTAAAGACTCGAGTAAATGTCAATTTAATATTTTGACAAATCAAAAGAAACGTGAATAACTTACTATAACACTGGATACAGACTTGATCTAAGATATTTAAAAACTTGGGTGTTAACGGTGGCAGAGGTTCTAGTTGGATTCTTTTGAAGTCTTCAGGGCAGTCCTTCTTTAGATGACCCTCTCGTTTGCATAAACTGCACACTACCGTAGGAGACTGCAGGAATATGGCAAAGCAAAACAAGACTTAACACTTTATTTGCCAAATAAAGGAGTCTGGAATCATGTTTTAAAAGTACATAGTCTCCTATTCATTTTCCAAAGGAAATGAAAATGTAACATGCGTCCACTCAAATGATCTGAGAGTTGGGGACATCCTATGGTATCATTAGGAGAACGAGGTAGTTATTTTCACTACTAATAGCATTCCCTTCCTCTGCTAATTCCCATGAGTCTTAAGGAGGAAAGGAGAGCGAGCAGTCATATCAGAATGAAAGGCCAACTTGTTAAACACTACCAAAATAGGAAAACTCCTAGTACATAAAAATTGAAATTAAATGCATTCAAATTCCTTAAAGTCTCCTAGTTCCATATATGACTAGTGGTGGTACTGATTACCTTTCCTTTGGTGAAGATAAGTTTACTGAATTCATAAAAAAAATCAGACTGATCCACAGGTGAACTTTCTTCACATACATTTTCTTCCTTAAGACTTATTTTATTAAGTTTCACTAGGAGAGCTCCTTCTACATGTTTTCCACATTCTTTCACGTCTTCATACTTAGCAGGGTCGCCTAACTCATCATCCTCTTCAGATAGGGCATCCTCATCCCCTGATCCTGTGTAGGTGTTGTCTAATTCATCTTCATTAGCCATGCCATCTTCATCTTCCCTTTGGTTAACGGTGAGTCTAGGTTCTTCTTCCTCCTCTTCTTCTTCGTCTTCCTCCTCCTCTTCATCAGAGGGAATCATTTCTGAAATCTGGCCCTGTACTGAGTGGGTAAAGTGGTTTAGAGGGCCTTCTAGTTCCTCAGTACCTTCTATAATTTCTCCATCAAGATTAGCCTTGTTATCTAAAGTAGCAAGTCCCTCACACTCTTTGGCTATAGGATTTTGGAAGCCTTCTAAATCCAAAGAGATCTCTGACTCATTATTACGTGTGCTGCCACACACAACATGCTCTCCACGTTTCTGATCAATAGCCAACAGATGCTTGCCCTTCCTACCAACTTTCTCTTTCTCATTTTTCCTTCCTGTTTCTTGATGGTGTACTTTATCATCCTTGTAATCATCATAGTCAACATCTGCTCGGATACAGTCTGAGTTTTCAGGGGGGATAACCCTGATGTGTTCATTTCCCATTTCTTCTGTTGGTGGACTTCCAAAGCTTTCAGCAGTCTCTTTAAGAGTAAGTGGCTGTACCTTACAGGTATTTGCAGCTGAACCGGTAGCACCGGGACCTTGAGCCAAAACTGAGTTTTTGAGCTTATCATCTTTTGTTTGCACATCTGGATCATGATTTATTACTTCTGAAACACATGTAACTGCATTCAGAGGCTTCGGAAGGCTGGATTTTGTAATTTTGTGTGGAAGAGCAAAATACTTGTATGTTGTCCTTAAACAGTGAAGTATATATTCAAACACAGGTTGACTATTTAGGGTTCTTGCCACATTTCTTTTAACAGAGTAGGGATCTGTAATAAAAAAAAAAAAAAGAAAGAAAAAAATCCATCTCTTCATATACTACTGTATTTCATGTCTTAAAACTTAGCCTGCTGCAGATAAAAACAGACAACAAACAACAGTAAAATTTATCTTGTATTTTACAGGCTTTAAAAAAAAAATAAACTGGGGGTGGGGAGTAAGAAAATAGAGTTTAAGAACAAAAAGCAGTATTTTCTGAAACATCTGCTCTATGAAGGGAAGCCATTCTCCGTTCAGAACTAGTACCCCTTCTCCCTACTGTGCTCTGTGACTGTGGAGGTAGAAAAGATGTTATCAGCGTGGCTCTCAGGCCCTTGGGAAGGAAGATCTTCCCACAAGGCTCTGCTGCTGAGTGCTCTGCCTCCCCACTCAGTCAGGCCCTGCGGTTTATCGAGCTTACCTCCACTCTTCTGCCCTGGGAAGCCCCATCACTGAATTGGCTGGACTGAATTTCAGGGGCGAGAGGGAGGCACCAGGAGGAGACACCACTTCTCTCAATCTTTTCTCCTCCCCTAGAACTCCAGCAGGTTAGGCAATTGGCCAGAAGAGCTGAGCCACAGAAACTGCAGGGGAGGGTTTAAAAATGTGAGATCCCCATGATTGCACACAGAATTTATGCAAAATGCAAAAAAACCCTCTTATGCAACATAAAGCTTGAAAAAAAATCAAGCAAAAATAAGAGAATTCCATTTAGGAGGTTCTTTAAATTATTTAAAGGAGGAGAATTAAGATTTCTAGAGGGGTTTCAACCTCCTGACTTTGCAAAGCTGAGAAGAGCTAGTTCATTTAATGATATCTATAGGGCACATCAGTGTGTCTTTGATAAAGTGATTTCAGTTAAATGAGCCTTCACTAAAAATGTGTTTTTATGAATAAGTTCTAAATGTTACTGTAGATATGTCAAAAATAACTACTCATTCTCTCTACTGGAGAGGAATCCAATGGAGAATGACATTTTTGACGAGAAAAAGCATTGTCCTCACCTTTGCAAAACTAAACAACTTCAACAAATGGACTGAATTAAAAAATCCAGAGGTGAGAATGGTAAAGAGGAAAGGGGGATTTACACATCACTGTGAAAAACATACTTTAGGCATTTAAGTGGTTAAGCAATCTACAAAGAAAGCAAGGACTCAGCCAGCCATTACTCAAGTTGTTTATACTTTAAAAACCCAGGGTGAAAACAGTTTGATTCCTTGAAATGACCCACAGTAACACATGCAAGATTCTAACTATTTATTTCCCTTTGAGGGCAGGCCTACCTTACTTGTGGGAGCTGAAAAGAGACTGAAATAAAAAGCATGCTGTTAGACTGGTACCTTTAAAAAAAAAAGAGTCGGGGGGAGTAAGATAAACATTTTGAGATACCTTCAATGGCAATGCGCTTTTTGGGCCAATCCTTCAATTCCCGAGATACCAATTCTTTGACACGAATACTTATCACTAAATCAGCCACATTAAATTCTAAAGCATAGAATCGCAGCAATTCCACCCAGAGCTGCCCAACTGGTACTGAAGGCTGGTGTTTCATATCCAATATTAATGACACCTATTAATAGCAAAGAGAAACATACAGGTTATTTCAGATGCAAGTACAATCTGGAAAATTAAAGATCATTCAAGTATCAAATTTAAAAAATCTGGAAAACCTTAACAAAGATATAAGCCTGACAATTCATCTAGATAAATCAATTCTAACTTCTATTTTGTTTGTGGTAAAACAGCATTACTTCACTGCATTATTAGGATTAGAGTATGCTATAATCCAGTCATTATCACAGGAACAGACAAGATGGGTTTTATTTATTTAACCAGACAGCGCTCCTAATTTTGAACTGTTAATAACAGGTGGAGAGGACTGTGCATAGGTTGCTAATATTCTCAGCACTGAACTCTTCCTGTTACTGCTGCTGGAGGCACCTTTATAGTCACAGACACACAAAAATGGACAGTAGCTAAAGGCATAGAGAAAAAGGAAAAACTCCCCTCGCTGCCCTGAGAAGCTACATAAGCACACTGACTCTGTCAGTGGCAACAGGTTTTTAAAGTCAAGTAACTCTTGCCATCAGCAATTGACACTCGTTTTACAGTTACAGACTTCTGACAAGTTGGACCATAACTGCGATATAATATATTAGAAAGCACATATTACTTAGGATAGGGGAAAATATGGGCCCAAATAGAGATTCTGCCACGTCATATCTCTTAATTGCTCTGTGACTTAGCTTCTTCATTCTCAGACTTGTAGCACAACACAGTGGCTAAGAGAACTGGCTTTGGATTGGGACAAGCTGAGATTTGAAATCCAAACTCTGCCATGTACTAGCCGTGTATGATCCGGGTCAAGGTCTATAATCTGTCTAAGCCTGGGTTTCCTCATCTGAAAAATGGGGATAACAGTACCCACCTCATAGGGTTGTTGGGAGGACTGAGTGAGATAGTGTCTGTAAAGTGCTTAGCACAGTGCCTGGCACACAGTGTTCAAAAAATGGTCGCTATCATTATCTGCAGAGTAGGGATGATACCACCTATAACACAGGATAGTTATGAGGATTAAATCAGAAACAAGGGAAAGCATCTGGCAGACTTGGTTGCTCTCTGTATTTTTTCACGTAGGTATAGCCTTTTAAGTACAAGAAATCCATATATCACTGAAACACAATGTCACAACTGTAAGATGCTCTTAAGAGGTAATCTAGTTCAACTCCTGTATATTACAAGAGAAGGAACTGAAGCCCCACGAGTGCCCATGGCTTGTCAGAAGGTTGCACTGCCCGGTAGGGGCCGAATGAGAACAATATCTCAATGTCTCCTGATCTCAGTACAGTGCACACCATATGCAACCCCATAGAGTCTGAGGCTCACTTTATTTCAGAAGTGGCAGCATGATTAATCTTTCCAAATAACATAAAAATGTAAAAATAAAGCATTAAATGGATTTACAGCAATAGCTTTTCCTATAATTCACACCGAAAAAAAGTAATTTCCTCTAAGGTGCACAAATTTGTCTCCAATCATACTTTATTATATTAAACTTCAAAACCAATGGTATATTTTTCTCAACCACAAAGGTTGTGTCAAGTAATATAAAGTCATCTGGTGGTTTTACAAGGCAGAACTGATTAAAAATGGAAGTTGTTTAGGTCCCAAACACTACAGTTTGAGGACACAAATAAACCCCCCAGAAATTTTAAGCATTATTACATTTTACCTCTTTATCCATAGCAGCATTACAAAGGATTTTTAAGCATCTCACTGAAATGACTCGATAATACCGTAACATGAAACTGGAGAGACCTTTGAAATATCTAGACTACAGGAACTTAAACCGGTTTTCTTTAAAACAGAGAACATTTTCTTTTTCAAATAAAATAAGAATAGCAGCTAACATTTACTGAGTGCTCACCACATGCTTGGCACTGAGTTAAGCATTCTGTAAGTAACCCTATGAGAGGGTACCAATATTATCCCCATGAGTAGGGAGGAAACTGGTGCACAGAAAGGCTAAGTCACTTGCCCAAGGACACACAGCTGGGAAGTGGGAGAGCTGGGATACAAATTCACATATTCTGGCTCCACAGCCTATACTCTTCTCCACTACAGAGACTCCAAATAAGAAACAGATCAAAGTGGTTCTGGTGGCAGCAGTGGTAGGGTGATACCACCACTCTCCTCCTCCTCCTCCCAGTATTCAAGGATTCTAGAAAACACAACTGGAAAATCTGATTCACCACTAACTCCTCATTTTAGGCACGAGTAAAACATGAACTGGAGGAGTGACATGACTTGTTTGTATAGAGCTGGGATTTGAATCCAAGAATTTTGTGTATATTACTGTCAATTTACCCCAAAAGGTAATGGGAAGATCAGGGGTCTTTCATCTATTTGGGAGAGAATCTTATTTTATTACTAGGATCATGACATTGCAGAGATTTTTGTTTGAAATTCTAATGGCTATTCTTTCCTTGTGCATAAATTCCCCTGCCCACCCCCAACAGTATGGGAGCAGTACATTAAATCATATATGCATTCGCTGTAATTTTAGTAACTGAAAGCTAGTTAACCTTTCATACATTCAAACCTCATAATACCACCTAAGACTAAGCTCTTTGTGGATACATACGGATTTACCTTTGAATTTTGAATCTCTTTCAAAGGACTCGGCACAAAGAAACTACATAAATAACTGTGGATTTAGTGATCTAACTTTTTTTAAACCTTTTCTCATTACTTGTCGATTCAAGGTACTAAATAGACTGACAAATGAAAGAGCCATGAAATAGTTAAGATAGTTAAGGAAAGAAGAGGAGACTGACTAATCCACAAACTTCACAATTGGCAGTTGAAATTGACAACTAGAAACAAACGAGAACAGACCTGTCCCCTTTTAATGGGCGTTTCTCTTGGTGCCTCTTCTTTCGCTGCGTCTGTATCCCCTGCAGCACTGTCCGTATATTCCCAGATCACAACATCTGTTTCAATGTCTTTAAGGTTGAAATTCCCCAGTTTGCTTAATGAGAATCCTTCAATCTAGGAAAAATCAGACACATGTTAAAATAAGATAGAAATAATTTTATATCAAACATAGCCTACTAATCTTGGAATAAAAAAAATATTCAGAGTTCATCGAAAATACAAAAGATATAATTAGCATCTATACATTTAAAAATATTTTTAAAAGTAAAAAACAAGGCTTTGATTTGCTAAAGGAATGGTGACTTTGTGAAATAATTCCTCAGTAAATATTCTAAGAGTAGGCAAAATGGCCTAGTGGCTGACGTCATGGGTTCTGAAGTAAAACTGCCTGGTCCCAAATCTCAGCTCCTTCATATACTAGCTGTACAATCTTGGGTAAGGTACTTACTCTCTGTAGGCCTCAGGTTCCTTTAAAAAGGCTAACACTAGGACTTCCTTCAGGGGATGGTTATGATATTAAAAAATGACCATAAGGCACTCAGATAGAGGTAGTATCTGCTTGTAGCATATAGCACATAGTAACTGCTTAATAAATACAACTATATTGCTAGAAAATGAAAATTACAAGAACTAGATCTAGTTAATTAGAAAATAATTTTAAATACTATTAATTCTGGTTATGCTGGACATTTTCAAAGTAAATTTTATGTGCTATTAATGAATGTTAATGCAAAAGAAAATGGTCTGGCTGAAAACGCTCATGAAATGTCAAACAGAGCTGAACAGGCTTCTTCATTGTATGATGGGATTCATCACAGCCTTTAAAACAGGTTAATGAACAGGCCAGGCGTGGTGGCTCACGCCTGTAATCCCAGCACTTTGGGAGGCCGAAGTGGGCGGATCACCTGAGGTTGGGAGTTCGAGATCAGCCTGACCAACATGGAGAAATCCCGTCTCTACTAAATATACAAGATTAGCTGGGCGTGGTGGCGCATGCCTGTAATCCCAGCTACTCGGGAGGCTGAGGCAGGAGAATCGCTTGAACCTGGGAGGCAGAGGTTGTGGTGAGCCGAAATGGTGCCATTACACTCCAGCCTGGGCAACAAGAGCGAAACTCCATCTCAAAACAAAAACAAAAAACAAACAAACAAACAAAAAAACAGGTTAATGAATAAAATAATACGGGATGGAGTATGGATGTGATATCACATTTCCCAAATGTATTTTTATACCAAATGGGCTACTTCATTGGTTTAGAAGAGAGTGATCCTTCTAATCACTCATGCATTCCTTTCCAGGGTCTGAGTAACCTGGCCCTTTTCTACTTCTCTGATTCTTCTATCTTCTTGACTCAGGGATGACACCTGGTATTCCCTCTGCTTAAAATGCTCTTCCCCCTAACAAAGTGACAGAGAATATGACTCATTCTCTCTCACTTTATTCAGCTCTGTTCAAACGTTTTCTCTAAAGAGCTCCACATTTATCATTCTCTGTCCTCCTTACCCTGGTTTATTTTTCCTCAGAGAAAGTACCACCACTGCATATATATATATATATTAGTCTCTTGCCCCAGTGGATGTATAAATTCGAGGGCAAGGATTGTGTTTTGTTCACCACTTCCTTTTTTTTTTTTTTTCTGAGGCAGAGTCTCACTCTGTCGCCTAGGTTGGAGTGCAGTGGCACGATCTCGGCTCACTGCAACCTCTACCTCCTAGGTTGAAGCAATTCTCCTGCCTCAACCTCCCAAGTAGCTGGTATTACAGGTGCCTGCTACCATGCCCGGCTAATTCTTATTTTTTTTTTTCAGTAGAGATGGGGTTTCACCATGTTGGCCAGGCTGGTCTCGAACTCCTGACCTCAGGTGATCCACCCGCCTTGGCCTCCCAAAGTGCTGGGATTACAGGCATGAGCCATCATGCCTGGCCCCGTTCACCACTTTTAACAGTAACCCCCAATTGTTAGTGCCTGGCCATGGTAACTGCTTAGTAAAGATTTGTTGACAGACTTAACTAGTCTTCTACAGAAAACACTTTGAAAATATGAGGCGTAGTGATTGTTTCTTGGTTGGATGTATGTATTCAAGATTTTTCTCAACTGGGTAGCTTGCCTTTTTATTTATTTAGTGATGTTTTCTGAAGAGCTGCAGTTTTAGAATTCGATAAAGTTTAATTTCTTAATGTTCTTCTTTATTGATATGGTTTATGCTTGTAGTCTTTTAAGAAATCCTTTCTGCAAAGGTTTTTTCCCCAGGTTTTCTTCTGGGAGTTTCAGAGTTTTTAACTTTTACATTTAGGTCTTTGACCCAGTTTGGTTTCCAGCTTTTTGAGGTGGACCTTTAGGTCACTGAAGACCTTTCTTTTTGAATTTAAGCATTTAAATCTAAAACTTGCCCTATGCACACTATTTTAGCTGCATCTGACAAATTTTATATATCTTGTATTTTTTTTATTTTTTTTTTGAGATGGGGTCTTGCTCTGTTGTCTAGACTGGACTGCAGTGGTGTGATCACAGCTCACTGCAGCCTCGACCTCCTGGGCTCAGGCAATCCTCTCACCTCAGCCTCCTGAGGTGGGACTAGGGTGTGTGCCACTATGCCAAGCTAAGATAGCTTATATTTTTATTATTATTTAGTTCAAAATATGTTATAATTTCCCACTTGAATTCCTCTTCAATCTATGGAATCCTTTCAAATGTACTACGACTTATTTTAAGAACCAGCATAGGCCATCCTCTGGGAGGCCAAGACAGAAGGATCACTTGAGCCCAGGAGTTTGAGACCAGCCTGGGCAACATAGTGGAACCTTGTCTCTTACATCAAAAAAACAAAAAGAACCAGCACGTAGTCTACCTTGATGAATGTACCATATGGACTTGAAAAAAATATGTATTATCCAGTTTTGGGGTGTAGTGTTTTACCAATATCAATTAGGTCAAGGCGGTTGGTATTGTCTATCAGTTTATATTGCCTATACTGATTTTTTGTTTAGCTAACACAGTCAATTGATGAAGGCTGTTAAAGTCTCCTTGTCTGATGGTAGAATAGATTCCATCAATTTTTACTTCATGTATTTTGGTGCTCTCTTAATAGATGCAAACATTTATGATTGTTTGGTCTTCCCAATGAATTGACCCTACCCTAATAAAATGTCCCTTTTGTCTTTGGCATGTTTTTTTTGCTTGAAATCCATCTCACCTGATATTAACATAGCCTCTCTCATTTGGTTACAACTTATATCTTTTGCCATCCATTTACTTTTAACCTATAAGTCTTTACATTTTAATTTATTTCTTCCAGACAGAATATAGTCTTGCTTTTAAAATTCATTCTGAATGGGATATAGTTAAAATGAAGAACTTTTGCACAGCCCTATCAACAGAGCAAACAGACAACCTACAGAATGGGAGACAATTTTTGCAAACCATACACCAAAGGTCTAATATCCAGCATCTATAAAGAACTTAACAAATTTACAAGAAAAAAAGAAACAACCCCCTTAAAAAGTTTGTGCAAAGGGCATGAGCAGATGCTTTTCTGAAGAAGACATACATGCGGCCAACAAGCGTATGCAAAAAGCTCAACATCACCAATCATTAGAGAAACACAAATCAAAACCACAATGAGATACCATCTCACACCAGTCAGAATGGCTACTATTAAAAAGTAAAACAAAAAACAGATGCTGGCAAGGTTGCGGCAAAAAGGGAACACTTTCCTCAAAGAGCTAAAAGCAGAACTACCATTCAACCCAGGAATCCCATTTCTGAGTATATACCCAGAGAAACGGAAATCATTCTACCATAAAGACACATGCATGCGAATGTTGACTGCAGCACTATTCACAACAGCAAAGATGTAGAATCAACCTAAATACCTATCAGTGATATACTGGATAAAGAAACTATGGTACATATACACCGTGGAATACTATGCAGCCATAAAAAAACCAAGATCATGTCTTTTGCAGGAACATGGATGGAGCTGGAGGCCATTACCCTTAGTAAGCTAACATAGGAACAGAAAACCAAATACTAAGTATCACAAGTTCTCACTTATACGTGGGAGCTAAATAATGAGAATTCATGGACACAAAGAAGGGGAACAATGGACACCGGGGCCTACTTGAGGGTTAAGGGTAGAAGGAGGAAGACGAGCAAAAAAAAAAAAAAAAAAAAAACTATTGGGAACTAGGCTTAGTACCTGAGTGATAAAATAATCTGTCCAACAAACCCGTGGCACGAGTTTACCTGTATAACAAGCCTGCACATGTACCTTGAATCTGAAAGTTATAAACAAATAAATAAATTCTGGTAATCTATGCTTTTTAGTGGGGATATTTAGTCTATCAATATTTAAGGTGATTACTGATACCACTGGTTTTAGGTCTAACATTTGAGTGTTTTCTGTTTGTCCACTCAGACAAAATTTCCATTTGGTTCTTTGAATATTTCCTACTTCTCTAGCTGACATTTCCTATCTCTTCATTTATTCCAAGTGTATTATTTCCTCTGTCATGAAGCATAGCTATAACAACTGCTTTAATGTCTTTGACGGTTGCATCTGGTTCATCTTGGAGTTTGCCTTTGTTCATTTTCTTCTCCTTTGAGAGTAGGTCTCACTTTCTTGACTTTTTTTGAGTAATTTTGGATTATATTTTAGATATTGTAAATATTACATTATTAAAATTTTGAATCATTTATTTTACTCTAAAAAGTGTTTTTGTTTTAGCAGCAGGTAATTAACTTGTTTAGGCAAACTGGAAATTATCACACCTCCAGTACATTGTGGCTCAGATCTTGGATCAGTTCCTTAAACCTTGGCTCCTAACTATATTCAGTCTGCCCCACACAGGCCTGGTTTAGGAGTCTGGCATTAAAATTTTGAAAAATTCTCAGTCATTAGTCCTTCAACTATTTCTTCTGTTCTTTTTTCTCTTTCTTCTCCTGTTGGTCTTCCCATTATACATACGTTTCAATCTTGACTAATTGACCCAGTTCTTAGGTATTCTCTTCCTTTTTCCTCTCTACTTTTCAGTTTGAGAATTTTCTGTTGCTATCACTTCAAATTCACTGATTTTTCCTGGCTATGTCTAGTCAACTAATGAGCCCAAAGGCATTATTCATTTCTGTTACAATTTTTTGGATTTCTAGCATTTCCTTTTAAACCTTTTAAGAGTTTTCACTCCTCAGCTTATATTACCCATTTATTCTTGCATGTTGTCCATTTTTTCCATTACAGCTTTTAGCATATTATTATTTTAAATTACCAGTCTGACAATTTCAACATTTCTGTCATATCCAAGTTAAGTTCTGATACATGCTGTCTCTTCAAACTGTGCTTTTTGCCTTTTAGCATGCTTTGTAATTTTTTGTTGAAAGCTGGACAAGATATACTGGGTAAAGAGGCTTTAGGATGAGGTTTTGTTTATCTGGCTGGGAATTAGGATGTTTACTGTTTTCTGCAGTTGTCGTGGCTGAAACTTCCTCTGGTGTCCTTGTTTTTGTCTCCCTTGTTGCCTTTGTGTTTCCCTAAAGACTTCTTACAAAAGGTCTGAGACTTGTAGTTCAGACCTTGTGATTCCTGGAGAGGGGAAACACTGTATAGTCCTAAGATTAGGTCTCAGTCTTTTAGTGAGCCTGTGCCCCTAGACTGTGACCTTCATAAATATTTCCCAGTCCTCCTACTACCACCCCTACTTAGATGAGAAAGGAAGGCTAGAGGGGTGGAGTTAGGTACCTCCCTTCTCCTGGCTAGTAAAACCCAAGGTGGTTAGGCTTCAGTGAAATAGTACCTCTGGAGCGCAGGCTTTCAATAATAAAAGAACACTCTGGACATTATTTCTAAATGGCTACCTTTCCTCTCATCCTGCCAGAAGCACTGGGAGATTTTTCTCCGGTCTTTACCCTCAGAACTTAGTGGGATTCCTGGAGGTATAACTCACACAAAAGTCTGAGGAAGCCCTCCTAAGCATGGGACAAATTTTTAACCCTCAAGCTTGTCCAAACTGAGCCTTGGGAAATTTGTCAATTACACTTTAAATTTTTCTACCCTAGTATTGGCTTCAGTGGCAGGATTCCACTCCTGGCCTTCTGCTCAGGTAAGCTGTGCTTCACTGTATTACCCTGCTCTCTAATTTTGGGGGCAGTGGTTTGCCCATGACATCAACTGTCTGTCTGATGGATCCAAAAAGGATTGTTGATTTTCCGTTTGTTCGGTCTTTTTTTTCTTGTGAGGATGAGAGTGACGACTTCTGGGTTCCTTTCACGCCAAACTAAACTGGTTCAGGAGCTGGCCAGAGACATCCTGAGTTTTTATACTCAGGGTTCTTTTTAAGGGTTTTAAGGGTTCCACTTCTGTTATCTTTCCTTTCAGTTCCTCCTCCTGTACCCCTTATCTGTTGGTGGCCCTGGTTCCTCTGGCCAGGAAGAGGACTGATTTTTGTTTTAAATCAGAGCTGCCCTTAGGGGTAGAGCTACAGAAAAACAGGAGACTCACTCTGTGTTGGTCATTTGCTCCAAGTTTTGACTCCCCTCTAAAGCCTGTTAGCATTTGTTCAGTCTGCAGGATATTCATGCTGTTGTTTCTGTATTTTGCCCAGAGTTTATAGTTGTTATCTGCAGAAGGATCACTTGATTAGGAGTTCACACTTCCACACCATAAGTGGAACTTGACTTTCTACTGAAGAAAGAAAGGACTATAACATTTGTTATCCTTCCTTGTTTCAGGAGTTTTACATTCATTATTTCATTTAAGGTTCAGAATGACACTGAGGCTCAGAGATTAAATAACTTGCTCAAGGATGTGAATGGCAAAACCGAGATGAGTCCCAGTGCTATTAAACCTGAAAATTACCCTTTTTTCTACTATATTATCTGGCATCTCTAAAGTATGAATATCTGCTAAGGACTAGGTTTGTATAATACAAAATTATTCTTCATTCACAACTCACTATAATTAACCTCAATCATATCAAGATTTAAGGACAATAAAATGAGATTTCTGATCGGGAATAAAGGTCGGAGAGGGTTGGAGTCTCCAACATGGAAGAGATCTGGGTAGGCTGGGACAGAATGACTAAAAGATTTGTGAAAAGACAGATCAGAAAACATATGTACAATACACTAAACTTCTTGACAGGGAATTTGGTCTTGTCCATCTTTGTACTTCAGGGACTACTACAATGACTAGTATACACAGTGCTTTAAATATTTTGAAGGAATTAACATTTAGATACTTTCGTGTACATAATTATGAGGACCTCATTGGATTTTCTGCAGAAATAATGTATGTAAAATATCTAGCATAAAGATACTTAATAAATATTAGTTCCTTTCTCTTCACTTCCTAACTAGTTTAAAATGTTGAAAACCACAGGATCATTTTGGTTCAGGTGGTAGCGTGCCTTAACGGATTCAACGATTTCAATCCAGTGTTTGATCACCACATACCTGCTTTTGTCATTAAATTACGAATAAACAAATGATCCAATCAAAATCAAATTGAGGAGCACTTTAGAGAGTTTCTGGTATCACTGACAAGGAAATAATATGCTGACCATAGGAAAGGGTATCTGTACTACCCTGAAGTATCCTTAGGAGAATCTCATCACCAGAAGAGGTTTTTCTTTTTCCTGCATTCTCATGTTAATGACAGATGACTACTTAGAGATCAAGACACATGAAAAAGCAGACCTCACTCAGTAAGATGGCAGCGAGTAAGGCAACTTATCCAACTTGTTTCACGGTTTTTTTAGGTGCAGGAGTCCAACTGATTTGATCCTATCCTAAATTCCTGTCTCTCCTAGATCAAGGTGAAAGGAAAACTTCAAAGACTTTCACAGATTCCTACTTGGGTGTGCTAGAAAGAGTTATTTATCAACTAAGGGTTGACTTTGTTCTCTTGCTCTTTTTTCTACCAGGACAGTAGTCTGGTAGAGATACCCTCTCATGGCTCTGAATTCTCTCATGTCAATACTACAGGCACAAAGAGAACTACCTTTAGATTACTAGGATACACAGCATGCAATAATCCCTTATGCCAGGATAGTTTTACAAGTGAGTTATTCTACTTCAGTCTTTATTCCCAGGGCCTGGTAGATAAAAGTCCCTGCTTAATCTCAGCTTATTAAGTATAAGGAAAAAATTCTCTTTAAATATATTTTTTGACGTGTACTCATTGTTAAGAACTCCTTAAATGATGAGAGAAACCTATGTGCATTAAGAAAAGTAGTTACGATAGCCAATGTGTCAAAGTAAGCTTTTCACTAAGGGGTCTTTCTATAAAATGGGAGTCTTTCTACACATAAAAGTATATCAAGGTAATACCAAGGGATTAAAAATAAGGTTTCTAAGAGGATGAGCTAATACCATTTTGACTCTTTCAGATGGTCTCTTCTTAAATCTTATTTGAACAAATCGACTCAACATTAATTTATCCAGAAAGAAAGAGTGATCACATGAATTCTAGTTCATCTTAAAAATAATGTCAAAATATTATTCAAGAGATGACTATTAGGTTCTGCAACTTGTGGTACAGGTAGCAATCTCAATGTTTATATATATATGTGTGTGTGTGTATATACATTTTTTTTTTTTATAGGTTATGGAGAGAAATAGATTAGAAACAGAAAGTAAGTTACAGTGTACCAAATGCTTCCCACAGTCTGTCTGTCTGGAGGTGATATGTAAATCCAAGTATCAATTTAGAAAACTGTACCCAAAAAAAGAATGTACCAAATGGTAAATTTACAGGGTCACAGTCTCTTGTTCGTCTCAGGCCCATATATATTTCAAAAATTAAGAGATTTTACAGTCTAGAAAGGTAATAATATCCCTAAGCAGGTTATAGGGCAGCATACTGAAATCAAACACATTAGTATTTCAGCAGTGAAAGGTATGAGTATTCACACTAGTAGAATAAATAAATCCATATCAGTTCTGGTTAGGTGTCTAGATTTTGAAATTATGCAAAATTTCATTGTGGACCTGTAATAAAATCAGTTCAGATATATAAGCAAAAAAATGTTTTATACCCATGATCCTAGATATACAGGCAAAAGGGGTTCTTTCCTCTGCTGAAGAAAGAAAATGGCCATCAGGGCAAACACATAAGGTGGCAGACCTCCTTCTTCAGGGCGATCTATACTGCAAAGCTACAAACAAGAGAAAAGAAAGTTAAGCATTCTTTTTGTATGAATTTGTCATTTACACGATTTGGCCTAAAACCTGTAACCTCATTCTTGTTTACTACATGATTTACGGTAATTCTTCAGACAAAAATAGCAGTTATAAAATATACAACTTCCTTATACTTTTGCAACCACATATTGTGGTTTTAAGTGATAGTTTCAATTTCGAATATTTAATCCTGTTAACCATACTCACTTGTGGATGGCCCTAAAATATTATTTCCTATTTTATTTTTTGATATACATGGTCAATTCATTCATTTGGTTAGAATACATGTTAATGAATTAAAAATATTTGTTCAGTTACAAATGTAAGCCAGTTCCATGGTCCTTTTACCCTAACCCATAGCGTCTTGCATATGCATGCTTTGGTCACAAAGGCTGGTGTGGGGAGAGAATGTGGACAAACTCATCATCACTAATGGAAATAACAACTAAAAAGGCACATTCTACTTAGTGATGAAGCAGGCGGTGGTTTTCAAAGGATAGCATATTATAATTATAATTTACCCAGTGAAGAGTGGGAAATCCTTTGTTCATTCAGGATCCAAGAAACAGGAAGTATCTATTGGTATTGATATATCTGAATCAGTAAAGCTTTTGCTTATCTCTAAAAGCACATACATAGAGTCTCAATTTTTTTTTTTTTTTTTTTTGAGACAGAGTTTCGCTCTGTCACCCAGGGTGGAGTGCAGTGGCGCGATCTTGGCTCACTGCAACCTCTACCTCCCAGGTTCAAGCAACAGAATCTCAATTTTATAATCATGACTCAACCTTACATTTTGGGGGAATGTTAAATCTTCTACTGTTTGAGTATTTTAATTGAAATATATTTAAAACATTATGGAAATGTAAACAAGATCAGAGAGTATCTTCTATTTTTTGCAGTCTCTCTGTATGTTATTGGATATGGTATGAGAAGCTTTAGCTCAACTTTCCTTTGCCTAACAACCACTGTGGTAAACTAGTTAAAATGTAAGTTCCTGGGCCTTATCCTCTGAGATTTGACCCACAAATCTGATTTTTAATAAGCCCTATAAATCATTCTGATCTTTTGAGCAATACTGTTAAAGGGAAATAGAAACACTGAATCTTCCATCTGTACGTTTCCATTGCAAAATTCAGATGCCTTTCTCTTTTGATGTCTATAAATTTGCATTTAAACACTGAAGATTAAATTAAGTAAAAATCAAAGCATACTGCTTATACTATATGTAGAATATATTCATGCATAAAGAACTCAAGCCTACCTTTGCCCAGTACCTAAACGCAATCACCAAAGGAACCAGCTTTGGTTCTAGTTTTCCAAGGGCAGTTAAATGCTTTGTTGTCAGACAAGCATTTTCATTTCCTGCGCTCACTTTACACAGAAGACCACTGGTGAGAGGTGGGGGATGAGGATGGGAAAGAAAAAAAGAAAAAAGTGTTATACAGGTCTGAAAGTGTCTTTTATGCCAACAACTAATATACATGGATAATAAATTCTTCAAAAAGAAAAAGCTTAAAAGTGAAAAAAACTTACTACATCTTTATGGGTCATTTAATAAAGTAAATTTTCTTTACAAAAAAGATATCGTGGCTATTTTCTGAGTAACCTTTATTTTTCAGATCCATAATTCTGTTTTCAAATATTAAAATTATTTTTTGGGGGATATGCAAATAAGGAAAATATTATAAAATGTTTCAAATGGCAGCATGATTCATCTCTGTAACAATAAAAGAGTGTTTTCCCAAGAGCTGGAGGAATGTGCCTAATGAACAATCATTACAGTCCATAAACCACCCATTTACAGTAGTGACAGTAATACTTTCAAACAGAGGGAGGGAGAGAGATAAACTCGAGAGGTCACACTGTTACTCAGCACTGCCATAAATGCTGCTAAAAAGGATGGCAAATACAGGTGATTACAGCAAGTAACCATTTAATAAGGCTGTTTTTTAAATCAAGTTGAAATGGACTGAAATGCTTCCTTCCTATATTTTTTCTTTTAAGTCATTTTATTATTTTTAAAATAGGATTTTCCCCCTTCACATCAAATGCCAAAAGTATAGGGAGAATGTTAGTAGGAACCATGTGTGATAACCAAATAAAAAGCTTATAATTTTAAAAATTGGATGTAGTAAAGAACTTGTGCTTTTGGTGAGTTGATAGTTAATAAATAAACAGCTTAAAGAAATGAGACCTTTGCTTTTCTCTGCACACCACCACTGGCACCCTAGCATGGAAGTCTGCATCGACATCAATAAAAGAGTCTGAGGAAAGAAGAAAAAAAATATTAAGTGGGTTAATTAAAGCTTTGTTTAAAAGCAGAACCAGATAAAGTACAAGTACCAGTTGTCCCTTAGCTGTGAGTCTTTTGAAAGACCACTACTAAATAATGCCCTGAAATGACTTGAAAAGGAAAAAATATTATATTCAAAAACCAAGTTATCACATTAATATAAAATCCTTAGTTTGTAAAGTGAATGTTTCATTAGAAGTGACTACATCATCGGATCAGAAAATTCAAATGTTACATGGATAACAATTAGAAATATAGGTAATACATTTAAAAACAAAGTTGCTGCAAAAGCTACTAAAATATTCAGTGTCGAAATATGTATTGATTGAAGACAAAATTTAACCAAAACAAGGAGGATGGGGATGACTAATTCAAGAGATGTTACAGTTTCATGAGGACTATGTAAAACACAAAAAGCCATAAAGCCCCAAGCTAGACATTATATTAGACAACTGATAAACCTAAATGGGCACAACTGCGGATTCATTAATCAGGGTTGGGTTACACCTATTCACTGTTGGTAAAATATTGATTTTAATCATTGATAAAAACAGATTATCCTTTAGTTTTACCCTCAAGAGTACATTTTACATATTTTGCATTTCTTAGTCACATCTAGGACTCATTTAATCTTTATAAATAGTGACGATGTCATCAAGCTAAAAGCTTTACTTATGAAATGGTTATTCTGCATAGTAGAACTACTAACAGGACTTTAGTTAATAATTCATGGGCATTTGCTTTGCTTTTTGCTTTGGATATTACCCATAAAAATAATTTTAAAAGCATGCCTTGCTATTTTCAAAGTTTGAGAGATAGGATATATCCAAATTATAAACATAAAAATTTTAAAACGTGGAATTTGGCCTTACCACTGTTCTTTAAACAATCTTGAACAAGTAAGAGGACATCTGGCTGAGACATCTAGGAAATAAATCAATGAATACATGAAATTATTCCTAAGTGATTTTGCTTCACTGATATAAGACTCATCCGAAGTTCCCCAAATTCCTTTCTAAATGAGAAATGCACATTGCTACCAAAGTAATTGCTCACTATGCTGTTTGCATATGTCAGTCAAAGACAGACAGATCAACACCAAATGAAGATGAATGTGGGCAAGAGACCTACTACACAACTAACTCCTGATTAACTAATTATTGAGGTAATTTGCCTCTCAACAAGTCTCAAAGTGGTAGCTGGAAGTTTGTCAAATTGCTAACAATATTACCTCTCACTCTAATACCATTGCAACAGATAGCTTACTGGTCCTGGAGTCAGTCTTGCATTTCTTTTTAAAATCCTTGTTTTGCATTGGAACCAGACCATTTAAAATCATCAACTATATCCTTACAACTCTCAATGACTTCTTACTGCCCTTCGGTCAAAACCAAATTCTTTAATTACTGCGGTCTACACGATTCTGCAAGTCAAGCCCAGCCTACCTTGCCATCCTCATCTCCTGCTCTTCTTTTTCTCGGTCCCTTCACCATACTTACACAACCTTTCTTTTAGCTCCTTGAATATGCCAAGTTCTTTATTGATTTCGGGTATTTGCAAATGCTGCTCCCTCTGCCCGAAACTCTTTTCCTCCCTGTTTCCCCCTCTCCTGCAAGCTCCTTTTCATCTTTTAGAGCTCGGCTTAAATGTTCCCTCTTCAAAGAGGCCTTCATGACTGCTTTATCTCTGCCCAGCCCTTGTCATTTTCTATCCCTGAATCTTTACCTGCACAGCTCTCACTATAATTACAAGGTAATTACTAATCTCCTTTACTAGATGAGTTCCATAAAGAGGAACCATCTCTGTTTTGTCCTTTATAACCTAGTATGTCTGCCATACAAATGGGATTAGTGAATATTTGCTAAATGAATTAACAACACCAGATCAAAATAAAATAACTGCTATGGCTGGTAAATCACTGATCAGAATTTAAGGTTAAAAAACAGTCTACTGGGTAGCTTACCAGGTAGCTACAGCAGTCAGGTATAGCAAGAAGTAAGAGGCTGTAAAATAGAACCTCTGGGGCCCCAGAATCTGGACTTTTTTTTGAGAGAGGTGGGGCTGGCCAGGCTGTTCATGAGCTCCTGGGCTCAAGTAATCCTCTGACCTCAGCCTCCCAAGTAGCTGGGATTAGAGGGTTAAGCCACTGCACCCAGCTCAGAATATGGACTTTTAACAAGCAACCCAAATAACTGCAAACAGATCATTTATAAACAGGCCTGTGGGAACTACCAGTAGAGAAACGGATAATCTACTAAAGTGCCTTCTGGTTTTTTCTTCTTCTTTTTTTTTTTTTAAAGAGAGAGGGTCTCACTATGCTGCCCAGGCTGATGCAATTCTCAAGTGCAGTCACAGCTAACTACAGTTTTAAACTCCTGGGCTCGTGATCCTCCTGCCTCAACCTCCAGAGTAGCTGGGAATACAGAACTGTGCTGTGCCCAGCTACACTCCAGTTTTAAAATTCTAACTCATCAACATACTTTTAAATCATGCTTAAACCAGAAATCCAGGCTAGGTGTGATTCTTTAAAAGCCTAATTATTCTAATAACATAGGTATATAAAAAGAGGAAACTCCAGAGATAATTAAACTTTCAGATCATAAATGTTTAAATATCTATACTGTTTAAAATCTGAATTCCCTTTCTGCCACTGGAAAGTTGATTTTATCAAGAAAACTTACTCTTTTTAAGTAACAGAACCTAAACACCCCCATCAGGTGCACGTGGTTGAAAAACCAGTGTTGGATGTATAAAAGATCCACAGACTAAAATAAGTATGAAAATTTGCAGAGTATTAAAAAAAAAAAAGCTCTGAAGCTGAAGGCAAGCAGATGCTGTCATTACACTTAAAATATCTTCAAATATCTAAAATATATTCATAGTTTACATTTGCAAGAAAGAATTTCCATACCACTCTGAAAATGCCAGCATTTCATTTTGTACTTACAATGGCTGGAAATTGGATGTCAATGTTTACATCTGAATTTTTGAAACCCAATCTGCTACAGGATGACCCATATAATCTTAGGGAACAATCTAAAAAATAAATAAATGAATAAATAAATAAATAAATGTCATAAATACAGTAAAATTTCTCAAAAGTTGTAACAAAACACTGCTATTTCAGAAACAGAAGCATCAATTAAAATTACACAAAAAAGCAAACTTGTATTCAAGACTAGCATAAACAAAGGAAAGGAATAGGTGGCTCTTTGCTCTTCACTTAACAGGGAAGGCAGCATCAACTATCATTTAGCTTAACAGCCACTCTTCATGTCAGTTGTAAAATGTCAAATTGCTACATTATCATGTATTTTATGAAGAAAATATTATTATCTAAATGTCACATTTTATGAAGAAAATACTCTTTAAAATAATTTTTAATATGTGTCAGTTGAAAAAGAATGCCTTTGTTTAAATTTATAAACCTGACAGTATATTCAAGAGCTAATGCAAACGTTTCTTTTCACCTTTTAGAATGCACACATAGGTGTAACTTACTATAAAGAGGTTTCACTAAAACAATAAAAAAAAATCTTTTGACATATTTAATATGAATTTCTCAATATGAACAAAAAGCATTTGCTACAACATAATCCCTATAGATAAACTTCTGAAAAATAATTACAATATCACTGATATAATTTAAAATGCTAGGCAGCAGGCACTTCACTCTTCAGAGGAAGACGTATGTGTGTATATGTGCACTATCTATATTATAGCATTTATTTTCAATGTTTTACTATGATGTCAAAATAGTATGCTTTCTCATCAGGAGTTGGTTTTCTTGTTTGTTTAAGGTTTGCTAAACTTCAAGTGATTTCACTGGGTTTTAGCAGTTTTCCACAACAAAGTACATTCATTTTTACATGAAATTTTACAGTAAAAATCATCAAAATTACAATGGACTTTTCAGGAAACACCTATATAATAAAATGAGTAGATTATTTTCCCTTATTCTTATGAAAGTATATCTGTTACAAATACTATATGTATGATCTTTCAGTAGAACAAATAGTTTTAAGATTTATAGGGTGACAAATACAAATAATGATTCCAACCCTAGCTGTGGATCAGAATCACTTGTCGAGCTTTGTAAAAATAGTTGTCCCTGGCTTCACAGGTAATTCTGATGCACAGCAAGGACTGAGAATGATTAAGCTATTCCAACCATTTACCTAAACACGAATGGACAGTGGGGGTTGGGGGACGATGTGGGCTGGGGTTTGTTGCTATCAAGGATTGACAGCAGTTGTGTCAGGCATTGAGCATATCTGACCTTAAATTTTCATATAATACACTCCAAATAGTTGTCCCCCCTCCCTATCATGCCAAAAGTCTAAAGTTAAAAACAGGCAGAAGACAGACATAACTTGGAAAATCAACTCAACAGTGCATAAAATCCAATACAAATTTATTAAAACTGGTTTTCAAAGTTCATTTTAGATGCTACAATTCTTTTAAGTACAGTTAAATAAAATCTTTTTTTTTTTTTTTTTTGATATGAATAACCTGAAAATAACTTCAGGATACTTCTCTTGATTTTAACTCAAAATATGGTGTCAATTTAGATGAGTAGAAAGGCAAACCAATATATACGCAAGAGTCCCATAGTGTCCCAATAATGCAGGGCATTCAACTTAAAAAAGTTCGCACACAGGGTAAAATTGATAATGGAATGACAAAGCATATGAAAGTCCTTGTTACCTTGGGGAAAGCTAGGGAAAACAAAAAACAAAAAAAAAACCAGAAAACATGAGCGCTTCATGACATGGGAAATAAATTTTTATTTGGTGAAAATTACTACTGGTAGGAGAAATGAATGAGGTACTTTTAGGTAGTTAAATAGAAAAACAAATCTAGAAAATACCTGGTAACTTGTGTTGGAACACATTTTCCATGATACGTTTAATTTCTAGCCTCTGTTCCAAGTTCTCATTGTGTAAGCCAAATTCCTGTACCACTTTGTCAATGGCAATGCCAACTGCATTTATCTGGGAGGGTGTTGGTGGGGGTAACGTAGTGAGCAACTCTTCCTCTTGCTTCTCCTTTTAAGATCAAATGTTGAGATTAAAAATGACTTTGTCACATAGTTTTTACCTTCTACCATTCACGAAGACAACGCCCTATAGAGTTTTCTTTTTCTTAGCCCTCCCTTCTCATCTTAGCTGTGTTATTTTTCATCCTATCAAACATACACATACTTCCTTTTGCACATAATGTGGATCAGTGATAACAGAGGATAGGCGGGCATAAGGAGAAAGTGTAAGGAAAGAATATTAAAAACAGCACTTACAAACACTGTTTGCTTTAATACTAGTATAAGGACATATACCTGGGTCCTATCAATGACTTCATATATCCTGATGCTGCCCTTAAGGAAATTCACAAAATTAACCAGTAAATACATCTGACCAGTATTATGTATTTTGGCTCAAATATATTCAATAAATAAAGCAGTAAAGTTATCAATATCATAGCCTTAAGGAGAAGAAAGCCACAAAGATGACAAGTAATAACAACTCACAGGTAAGCAGACTTGTTTGGGTTACATTCAATTTACCTTAATGTTTTTCTTGTGCCTCTTCTCCTTGATATGCTTATGGGCAAATGCAATGGATTCAATTAAAACATCACAGAGTCTGCAGGTGTACTTGGCTGCAGGGTAGTTTCGTGGTCGCTATAATTTGAAGAGATTTATTTAGAGAGACATAAGTAAAACCAAACATTCAGATAAACAAAATCAGCCAGGAAATGATTTCCCCTTCAATTTCTTTTCTCTAAAGAGACAGGAGTTTCACTACGTTGCCCAGGCTGGAGTGAACTGGCTATTCACAGATGCCATTAGAGCATACTACAGCCCCAAACTCCTGAACTCAAGCAATCCTCTTACCTCAGCCTCGCAGGTAATTGGGGCTACAGGAACGCCACTGTGCCTGGCTTCTTCTTCACTTTTAAAATTGCTACTGTCATTGTTCCCTTTATCACTACCCTAACAGTCATTTTAGGTACAATAGCAATGACTCCTAATCCTATTAAATCACACTGGATATCACTTTTAACTTGTAGTGCTTAAATACTGATAACCAAAGTAGGATATCTAATTGATCACAGCATGCATACTCAATTAATAACAAAATTTAGGCCCAAACCAGGATTCTAACCAATAAATATACATAGAAGGATGTTACCCTTTTGAGCCTGTCAACGCAATCTCTCTTCAGTCTCTCCTCAGCCTGCTGTAAGCCCAGCAGCTCCTTCGCTGAAAGCACAGACTCGTCGATCACAGGGCCTTCCAAGTCTCCATCCTGCTCGTTTTCCTCATTTCTAGTCTTCCGTGGCTTCCTAGGTCTGGCCCTCTGCTTCTTGTTTTCTTCAGTTGGGGGAGAAATATTATTGGCAATATTAAATAATGCTACTCCTGAGTAAAAAGCAGACCTTACATATGCATTAAATCATGGGAGAGAAGAAATCCCATCCGAATGCAAAGCAGAAGGAAAGGTAGCTGTCCCATGGACAACATGCTTGAACATTGTATTCAGTGAGTGCATCACCTGCAGACATTAATCCATAAAAATCAGCTTTTTGGAAAACTTAAAAGAATTCTACTTCAGTCATATAATTTGATTTTTATTATCTCTTCCTGGTATACTGCTGAGCATAGTAAAGCAACAGAAAAATTATAGGCAAGTATATGTATATTATATTTAATATATTACAATACATATTGTAAATATATCTTATATATTCCATAACATCTGTAAGTACACCTGTTATTCTCATTAAAACCATCCACATTTGGTTTCATCTTCTATAAGTGAACAATCTCAGTAAGGCAAAATGGACAATGTACCCCTGGACAACTCAGAAATCAACTATATCCTTGTCTGCAGTGAAAAATCACTCATTTAGTTGCAAATTTAGACTTCGATAACACATAAGCTAGGTCCCTCCATTAATATGAAGAAGTCCAAGCCAAAATTTTATTTACTAAGGACAACTATCTCTCATTTTACCTTTACTTTTATTTTAGCTTCTTTGAACGGCCTGTATGCTGAGCATATTTCAAAGGAAAAAAACAACTGGCAATTGAAACAAAAGTTTTCTCTAAGTACATTTGTTTATAAACTCTGCTATTAGTTCTATAATCCTTATAATGAATAAAAATAATACTGTTTCTTTTTAAAACCTACAACTTTTCAAATTGTTAAAGTGATTGTGGGATTAAATGATAAAAAATTGCTTTAGATAGTTTTGACAACTTATATCGAGCTTTAAAAAATGAAACTATTAGTAACACATTAGTGCTTGGAAATATAAACGTACTGAAATGCCCTACATGAAGTAATTCCTCCATCAAGTTTTCAGAGGAACTCATGACTACTAGTATGGCAATTACAATGAACTGGCTGGCTGAAAAGGAAATTTTATAGGACCTCCAATTTTTAAAAAGCTTGCTGAGAGGTCTAAAGGATAGGCAGCAAGCATTGTGCTAAAACTACCTGAGATGACAATCACAAAATTCTGCAAACAACTTCCATAATATGAGAAAATTAAAAAAATTAAAGTGTTGGAAAAGTTGTTTCAAAAACTCAATCAAAATGCACTGAACAAATAAAATACTAAAAGGTAAGTTGTCATTTCAACAGAAAATCAGGCTATCTTGGGCTACCTTAATACTTCCTTTTTAATACCCCCCTACTCCCGATTAAATTATTATAATCTTTTAGGGCCAGCATTTCTGGTCGAAAAAAATTTCTTTTTCAGATAAGCATTTCTTCTACTTAGAGATCTATCCATGCTCATTTAGTAAACATTATCGAAAAAAGTTGCATCTAACTTCAGTGTTTATTACAGGTTTCTTAGGCAAAAACTCATTACAAATTTAAAATAACATTGCAATACCCTTTAGAAACGCCCCTGTTAGTTCGCAAGCCAGTTAGAGATAGGGAACCGAATTCCTTTTTTAAACTCTTCCTCTCTTCTGGTCACAAAGGCTTCTCCACATAACTATATTTGCTGTCATTTTCTAGAAAGAGTAACTTCTCTCTTCCTCCAAAGACCACAATTAACTCCTACTGCTTTTATACAGAAGTGGATGGCTGCAGAAATTCTGTCAGATAACGGCAGCTACCACAATGGTGTATCTTATTGTGCAATAGATGTAAAGCACTTTATATGTACTGCCTCAATTAATCCCTACAGCAATCCTGCTAATACTAATATTGTCCCCATTGTACAGATGGGGACAATGCTAATCCGAGAGAATAACTTCTCCAAGAGCACATGGCTAAATCAAAGGGATTGAAAATATAGATTAAAATATGGATGGGGCCAGGTGCAGTGCGTCATGCCTGTAATTCCCAGCACTTTGGGAGGCTGAGGTGGGAGGGACTGCTTGAGCTCAGGAGTTCAAGACCAGCCTGGGCAACATAGTGAGATGTCATCTCTAGCAAAAATGAAAAAAATTAGCCAGGCAAGATGACTCACTCCTGTGGTCCCAGCTAACTGGGAGGCTGACAGGGAAGGACTGCTTAAGCCTAGGAGGTGAGGCTGCGGTGAGTCATGATTGCACCATTGCACTCCAGCCTGGGTGACAAAGTGAGACTCTGTCTATAAAACAAACAAACAAAAAAAGGATGAAATCCTGAAATTCAGCCTTCTAACAACATAAAAACTGGAGAGAAATTACTAAAATCCCTTCTTGGAACATACACATTCACATCTGGAGTGGACTAGCACCGAAAGGCAATATAACCTTCTAAACCTAGTTTCACAGGCATGCGTGGTAAAAACTGTCAAAATCTCACCAGAGGGACTCTTGGAGGGTAAAGCTAGGTACCGACGAAAAATTGTCGGCCAGGTGTGATCGTTCATGCCTGTAATCCCAGCACTCTGGGTGGCTGAGGCAGGCAGATCACCTGAGTTCGGGAATTCGAGACCATCCTGGCCAACATGGTGAAATCCCGTCCCTACTAAAAATACAAAAATTTGCTGGGTGTGGTGGCAGGCACCTGTAATCCCAGCTATTCGGGAGGCTGAGGCAGGAGAATTGCTTGAACTGGGGAGGTTGCGGTAAGCCAAGATCGCGCCATTGCGCTCTAGCCTGGTTGACAAGAGTGAAACTCCATCTCAAAAAAAAAAAAGAGAAAAAGAAAAATTCTCATAATTACTTGGAGGAAGACTACCTGGCTTACCTCAGATTCACTGTAATAAGAGTTCCCTATATTCAGCATTCCAAGTTTCCCATATTTTATTTGCATATGGTTCACAAAGGACATGAGTATTTGAGTGGATGCTGTCCAGCTAAGATCATTAATGGCAATGTCCCAAATACATTAAATTGGCAATCTAGGACATTTGAGGGCTAAAGTAGGGGCAGTAATGTAGAGCTGAAAAAAACAGAAGGTAGTACTGTATTTAGGGGAAAACAAAAAGCAAATGTATCATAATTTCCATTATATCTTCTCACATTGTTGAATAAGACCCTTCCTTATTAAGACACAATTTTGATAAAGAAATTTCAATCTCTTTAATGAGATCCTTATTAGTTATACTTTCAGTTGAATCTCTCTAAAGTAAATAATGTTATACCAAAGCTTAATGCTTCCTATATGAAGATTTTCAAGGGACAGAAAATGAATAATTCTTTACTTAATAACTGTGAAAGCACATACCTGTGTGTCATACAGGGAAAACATGCAAGCTTTTGAATTACCTCCAATAAAAAGACAGCAAAATTAATCTCCTATTCAAATACATTTAAAAGCAACTTCTTTAGTTGCTTTTATAAGAATACAAATAAAATAAGAAAACATAAGTTTCTGTGGTCAGCAAACAGTTCCTTTTAATGTCTAGCTGCAAATTTTTGATAAACTTTCTTTTTAAAATGCTTTTCAGCCGGGTGTGGTGGCTCACACACCTGTACTCCCAACACTTTGGGAGGTTAAGGCAGGCAGATCAGGAGGTCAGCAGATCGAGACTAGCCCTGGCCAACATGCTGAAACCCTGACTCTACTAAAAATACAAAAATTAGCCAGGTGTGGTGGTGCATGCCTGTAGTCCCAGCTACTCAGGAGGCTGAGGCAGGAGAATTGCTTGAACCTAGGAGGTGGAGGTTGCAGTGAGCCAAGATCGCACCACTGCACTCCAGCCTGGATGACAGAGTGAGACTCCGTCTCAAAAATAATAATAATAATAATAATAATAATAAAGTAAAATGGTTTTCAAGATCAACTTCTACAAGACAGACTATAGGTAACAAAATTGCCCACATCCCACCTAGACACAGTAATACAGAAACACTTAAATAGACACAATTTTTAACAAAGAAAAACACAAATTAAAAGCCCAGAAATTATCAAGAAATGTTCGGCTCCGCCGTCAGGATTTCAGGTCCAGCGAGGCTGAGTTAATGGCCAGAGTAGCAGAGTCCCCAATTTTAGTTCTACTTCCTCATTTACTGCTCTGCATAAACAGGTCTGTGTAAATTTAACCTCTCCGAGCTGCAGCTGCCTGATTTGTAAAACTGTGATTACATCTTTGATATATCCCAACAGAGTGCTGCATCAGATAATACTTTAAGCTATTTCTAGCTTAAAGATTTAAGTTTTATGTCTCCCTACTACTTAACGCCTTTATAACACTTCATTCTGTTTCTGCTACTTGATATTGATATATACTCTTAATTTTCCAATTTAAAAATATCTGAGGGCCAGGCGCAGTAGCTCACGCCTGTAATCCCAGCACTTTGGGAAGCCGAGGCGGGTGGATCACTCGAGGTCAGGAGTTCAAGACCAGCCTGGCCAACAGGGAGAAACCCTATCTCTATTTAAAAAAGAGAAAAATCAGCTGGGCATGGTGGTGTGCACCTGTAGTCCCAGCTACTCGGGAGGCTGAGACATGAGAATTGCTTGATCCTGGGAGGCAGGGGCTGCAGTGACAGGAGGTCACATCACTGCACTCCAGCCTGGGTGACACAGCAAGACTGTCCCAAAGAAAAAAAAAAAAAATCAGGCCGAGTGCGGTGGCTCACACCTGTAATCCCAGCACTTTAGGAGGCCAAGGTGGGTAGATTACTGGAGGTTAAGAGTTCGAGACCAGTCTGGCCAACATGGTGAAACCCTGTCTCTATAAAAAATACAAAAATTAGCCGGGTGTGGTGGCACGCGCCTCTAGTCCCAGCTACTCTGGGGGATGAGACAGGAGAATCGCTTGAACCCAGGAGGCAGAGGTTGCAGTGAGCCAAGATCGCGCCACTGTACACCAGCCTGGGTGACACAGCGAGACTCCATCTCAAAAAATAAAATAAAAATAAATGGATCTGACAACTAGAAGAATCTACGAAAAAAGAAAAAAATATCAAATAGCACATTTCCCCCCATTTAATATCAGTAAGCACTTGAGACTTTCATTTTTATCCTAAGACCTTGTAAAAATAAAAGACGACCTTTTTGCTTTTAAGTATTCATATGCATGGGACACAAACTCAAACACCTTATAGGTAACCTGTGTATGAACTGGCCACTGTGAGAAAACATGAAAAGGCATCGAGCGATCTAGAAAGTGTACATATTCCCTGAATGCATTTAAACTAAAAAAATTTATTTAAAAGTGCTGGCCAGTTTGAAGCACATTCTGTACGACCACTAAAAAATGCTTTCAGTCAATAAACTTACAAGTCCATGTTTCCAACTATGATATCGTTTCATTTTTTTCCATCCAATTTGTGACTTTATTTCATTTCAGTAAATATTACCCATTAGATAAAAATAACCTTCCTGTTTGTAGAAATCATTGCCACATGGACAAAATCTACTTTTTACTTTTAGAAAAACATATTACCTCCTTATTATCCTTTTGGGGCAATTAACCAAGCATGTGAGGGCACTGAGAAATTAGTTTTGGTCTTACTGAAACCAAACAGCAAAAGCTTGAATCTATTTCTGACTTTCTAAACTTGTTTCTCAACCTGTTTGTCATGATCCCTTTTGAAAAACAAAGATCTCAGATTATTCATCTCGGGACACTGACACTATACCCAAAAGATGTAACTCCTGTGGCAGGAGATATACGCAGTGTATACTGTATTTTTACATCAACAAGTAAGTTTTTTTAAAAAAAACCTTTATATTCTGTCATTTATATTATGAACACATTAATTATTCAAATACAAAATTATAATTTTGAAAACACAAAAACCACTGAGCAATTACGATATGGTCCCCTGGGGCATATAGCTACCCTCTTCTGTAAAAAACACGTTATAGAAAACATGTTTACTTAAGTAAAATGAGCCTTGGGGCAAAGTTAACTTTTAAAGGGATCAACATGTGAAATGTGTTGAAGCTGCCCAAATATCATGATTACAATCCTTAAAATAATCACACTAAGTGACCACTTCTTAAAACATAAACTATGAAAAACTGAAACGAAATTGCTGAAAATAACAAAACTCATTTGGATGAAAAAGAATAAGACATTGCTGACTCTGAGGTTGTGATCTGACAAGTTGGAAAACATTACCAGGACTTCCTGCTTCCATTTCTGACGTGGTTTCTAGGCTTGTTAGGTCTTTATGAAACAGTCGTCTCACAGTTCTGCAGCCTCTTGTGTCTTGCCACCGATAACCGTCTTCATTTTCTTGAAAGGAGTCTTTTCTTTGTCTGTTTATAACAGGAATTCTAGGTCCAGGTTTGAATTCTCTCCAGTTGTCCGAATTACCAGTATGTTCATCAGACAGCCATCTCTTACTCTGATCTTTGTGGTTGTCATTCATCCAAGCAGGCTGACTGTAGATTGGGTTTTTAAATGCATATGGATTGCTGGAAACAGCACATGGTCCTTTTCTGGGGGTATTCCCATAGTTCCCTGGTGTTATCTTTTTTTTTTGAAGGCCCTTTTCCATTTTACTGCCATGGCCTTTAGCATGGTCATCTATTATTAAATAATCTTGTTGGGGGTGACCCCTTCTGAAGTCATCATCATCCATAGTCCCCCGGTCTTTAGTGCGCTTCGCGAAATAAGGTTTTGCTGTATCTCCCATGGTCTTTGACTTCAATTTTCTTACTTTGCACCTGAAAGAAGGCATTTTGGGAAAATATCAAACTATATAACAAGATATCATACAAGTATACAAAATAACACATTTATCGTACAGATGCCCAAAGCCTGTGAAACTCTTTCCCTATTTTTTTAAAATAAAAATTCTATCACATTCTTAATAATCAGTGCAATACTCTAGAGGTTGGGAGGCTTGGTCCTCTAACAGTCTTCATGAAAATTAATACTTACTATTTAGCATGAAGATTAAATCTGTGAATAAGAGACGCTCTATAGGTTCCAGAACGGTAGCATAGTAGAGTACTACTCAAACCAAGTATGGTCGGCTTTTCCCTCTGTAACAAAGCGTTTCTCTTCAAAGAAAACCTCATCCCAAGGCAATATTATCAGTATACTACCGAAACAGTCTTTTTTTTTTAAGTTGGTAATTACTTGTAAGTGTTATACACCGAAACTTTACGTGAACGGAGTACTACATCTTTCAACTCCAATTTTCCGTCCCTTCACCACCACTACTCCGGACAGACCGGCTTTGAGCGCTTAGGTTACGGAAGGGCTGGGCTCCCGACCAAGGTGCAGCTGTAATCAAAGGGGCTGGGTTTCCGATCAAGGGACAACTCCAGCTAACCTCCTCAATCCCCATTCTCCAACCCCAAACAAGTTTGGTTTTGTCAGGAAGAGCAATTCCCTGAGGAATGACACTCCTCTTCAATCCCCATCTGACCGCTCCACCACCGATCTGCCTTAGTTTCCACCCTTTTGAGACCGACGTGGAGAAAGAGGAGGCGTCCCCGCACTCCTGGCCAAAAAGCCACCGTGGGGACCAGGAAGCAGGAAGTGACCTGCTGTCTCCATAGGGTTCCAGGGTTCCCCCGGCCAGCCAGGGGGCCAGAGCCGAATGTCTTGACCCAAATCCCATCTTCTGCGCCCGCAGACTGACAAAAAGTGAAAACACGGACTCGAACCCGAGAGCTCAGTCTCTGCCGGCCTGGGGGTTCCTCGGTCACCCAAACTGGTGCAAGGAAGCCGGCGGGGGAGGGAACCAACGTACCTCCGGGGCCAGGCCGGACCACTACTCTGGAGTCCAGGAAACCAACTGGAGAATCAGCCCGGAGGCGAGTCTGGCAGGGACGTTGGGAGAAGGCGCCCAGGAGCACTTACCACCTTCGCCGCGGTCCCCAGCCTCTTCCTATCCCGGCCAGGCTCCCTCTCCGTGTTTTCCTTCGGCCCCACTTCCGGCGCTCAGCGCTGTCTCATTGTGCGCGATTGGGAGCCGACTGTGCCCCCGCCCTAGCGCTCTGCCGCGCACACCGGAAACGCGCGCCGCGCCGCGCCCCGCCCCGCGGTGCCGCGCCCACGCTCCGGCCCCGCCTCCCTGCCTGGCCCCGCCTTCCGCGCCTGGCCCCGCCTGGCCTGTCCAGTCCGGTGCCCCAGCCCACTCCCTCCAGGTGTCGGTCTCCGGGTCTGGTCCCCGGGTGCGCCCCTTAGCGCGGGCGGATTACTGGCTAGCCGGATAGCCGGTTCGCCGGCGCGCGGGGGCCAGGCCCGAGCTTCTTACCAGAGCAGCGCTTGCTCCTTCTCTCTCTGGGCTTCGACGCTCCTCTGGTTCCCCTCTCTGCTCGGGGCGCTGAATGCTCGGGAGAGGCGCGGGAGCCCAGACTTACGCACCCGTAGAGGGACGCGGAGCCGGCGGTCGGGCACAGCTGCCTTCCCCGCGCTCGGGGCCTCGGCTTTGCCCCAGGGTGCTCACCGGTTGCTTCCAGGGGGAGTAAAGGCTCCGAGGCCTCGTAGCGCTCTTAGTGTTTTTCTGATAATTCGGAGTGATTAATGTTTTCGTGAATTCTTAATTGCCGACCTTGTAGAAATGCCAGCATTTAAACATCCACTGCTCACCCAGATCTCAAAGTGGTGAAGGAAAATGCTCTGCTTTTTTCTTAGGTTGTGTAAGGATTACTTTTACTTAAAAAAAAAAAAATTCAGTACATTTCGAAGAATATGTGTAATGGCAAGGGGTGACCAGGGAGCGTTCAATTCGAATTTTTGAAGAATGCACACCTCGAACTCAGTATTGCTTTTTATTTCTTTACTGTATGACCTTCCTTGCTGTTTGCAGTGTTCTAAATGCTTTGAAAAGCATCAAGCAACTAGTGAAATTAGGGAGCGTTGGGAAAATCGAGTTTCCATTTCTCTGCTTTTTTAAAGCATGTAAATGGAAAGCTATCAGGTCCTATGGGGCAATGGCCTTAAAATAATAACATGCAAAGTACTGGCTATGTCAGTAACTGCTGTGAAGGCTTTACAAATACTAACTCCTTTATTTTATTTATTTTTGTAGGGACACGGGTCTCCTATGTTGCTCAGGCTGCTTTCCAATTCCTGGCCTCCAGCCATCCTCCCACTTTTGCCTCCCAAAGTGGTGGCATGACAGGGGTGATCCACCATACCCAGCCTTAACTTCTACAATCCTCACAACTTCAGGAAGACTCTATCATTATCCCACTTTTAAAGATGAGGACATTTAGCACTTGCAGTGAAGTAAATGGCACTGCTGCAATCCAAACCCTGAATATGAGGCTGTTATTAACCATGTGGCTATATTAAAAGTGATGTAAAACACATTCCTACAACTTTTATATAATTCCTTACTTAGATATTTTGATTCTGAAAATACATGAGGATCAAACTGATAATCTCTTCAACAGGCAGACAGTGGCCTTGAAAATATAGAGTCTAAAAGGGAGTATGATGAAGCATGATTACATTAATTCTGAGACAGCAGCGTCACCACGCCCCACCCAAACCAGTAATTCCTGTACAAAAGAACTGGTTTAGAAATCTGCCTCCACCTAGAGTTCTAGAGTAGCAGTAGAGGACACATCTTTTTAAGGATTTAAATTCTTTTTTTTTTTTTTTTGAGATGGAGTGTCACTCTGTTGCCCAGGCTGGAGGGCAGTGGCATGATCTCCACTCACTGCAACCTCCGCCTCCACCTAGAGTTCTAGAGTAGCAGCAGAGGATACATCTTTCTAAGGATTTAAATTTTTTTTTTTTTTTTTGAGACAGAGTCTTACTGTGTTGCCCAGGCTTGTCTGCAGTGGTGCGATCTTGGCTCTCTCTATCCTCTGCCTCCCAGGTTCAAGTGATTATCCTGCCCCAGCCTCCTTAGTAGCTGAGATTGCAGACATGCACCACCATGCCTGGTTAATTTTTGTATTTTTAGTAGAGAGGGGGTATCACCATGTTGGCCAGGCTGGTCTTGAACTCCTGACCTCAAGTGATCCACCTGCCTCGGCGTCCCAAAGTGCTGGGATTACAGGTGTAAGCCACCACGCCTGGTCGGATTTAAAATATTTTTGCCGGGCACTTTGGCTCCTGCTTGTAGTCTCAGCAACCTTGGAGGCTGAGGTAGGAGGATACCTTAAGCCCAAGAATTGGAGGCTGCAGTGAACTATGATGGTGCCACCACACTCCAGGCTTGGCAACAGGGCAATACCCTGTCTCTCTCAAAAATAAATTTAAAAAATAAAATGTTTTAAATTTGCATTTTCTTCAACGTCTTTCCCAAAGCCCAACTTCTTTTATTCTAATAGTTGCTTTTAAGATTCATCTTGAGGACAAATCAGGCTCTCTAAAATAAGATGCAGTACTAATCAAAATATACTGACAACAGAATATACCTTTTTCTGTCCATATTATGCTGTAATGGATATTTAAGTTGGTCCTAGGAATCCTTACAATCTGGTTGGAAATTTTGGTTTGATTTTTCTTTGGATGTCACTGGAAGGATTAATGAGTTTCTCAGAATCTTTGTGGTGATTGCTTCACGGTCTTGACATATTTCCAACAACCTGAAGCAGAAATGTGAGGGCAAAGGCTGCTATATACTGTTAAGCTATGCTCAGAGGACATTAATACTGCTCCATATGTTACAATATATTTTCTATCTTGAGCTTAACATTGTAATACATCTTGAAATTCTTGTGATTCTATCTTGAAATTAACATTGTAATACATGTACTACATCTTGACATTCTTCTAATTCTATCTTGAAATTAACATTGTAGTACATGTAATACATCTTGACATTCTTGTAATTCTATCTTGAAATTTACATTGTAATACATGTAATACATCTTGATATTCTTGTGATTCTATCTTGAAATTAACATTGTAATACATGTAATACATCTTGAAATTCTTGTAATTCTATCTTGAAATTAACATTGTAGTACATCTTGATAAGTCAACTTTTAACAAACCCAGTGCTTTTTTTCTATACAGCCATGGAGTCAGAAATACAGGAATTATATTCATAGTTTTATCAGTCGAATTTTTTCCCCAGTGGTTTATTTTGTTTGGTTTGGTTTGGTTTTCAGTTTTTAGAGCTCTAATGCTTAGATGCCAGTGGTTTTTATCCACGTTGTTAGCAAGTTATGTTGGTTCCTCCTTTAAATCTGTCCGGAGTCCAGTAACTTATCACCACTTTCTCTGCTTCCGGCCAGATGCTCACCACTATCACTTGCTTCCACCTTGTCCTCCAATCTACTCTTTTTTTTTTTCCTGAGATGGAGTTTCGCTCTTGTTGCCCAGGATGGAGTGCAATGGCATGATCTCGACTCACCACAACCTCTGCCTCCTGGGTTCGAGCGATTCTCCCACCTCAGTCACCTGAGTAGTTGGGATTACAGGCATGAGCCACCACACCCAGCTAATTTCGTATTTTTAGTAGAGATGGGGTTTCTCCATGTTGGTCAGGCTGGTCTCGAACTCCCAACCTCAGGTGATGCACTTGCCTCGGCCTTCCAAAGTACTGGGATTACAGGCGTGAGCCACTGTGCCTGGCTCCTCCAATCTACTCTTGACACAGTAGCCAGAAAATGCATATTAAAAGCCAGACTGAGCTCCCCCTCAAAACACTTCACTGGCTTCCAATTTCTCTGGGAGTAAAAACCAAAGTCCTTCAATGGCTCAAGGCCTTTCCCTTTACCTACCGATCTCAGCCCTTATTCCTCTTACCCCAGTGGTATAATATAAAATATATTTGGCCTTTGTCCCCAGTTTCTGTCATAGAGCTCTTAAAATCCTTGAAATTTCCTGAGTGATAGAAGTGTCTTTCCGTGTTCATAGTGAGCCCCTAAACTCCTGAGTTTATGCTAATGAGATGATTTAGGGTGGGGGCCCTACATAGCCTCAGCATGGGGGCCAATCACCAGAAAGACCAAGTGATTGGAGGAATAGAGGGTTAGAACTCTGAGCTTCACCCACTGACCTCTGTGAAGGGGAGGAGGGGGCCGGAGATCAAGCTCTCTAAGTAGTCTTGAACAAAAGGATTTGATGAGAGTCCCTATAGTTGAACACATGTTGGTGCTGGACATTGGCTCACCTGGAGAGGGCATGGAAGCTCTGTGCCCTGCCCCCCAGCCTTGCCCTGTGTACCTCTTCATCTGACTGTTCATCTATATACCTTATAATATTATTTATAATAAATCAGTAAACGTGTTTTCCTGAGTTCTCTGGGCTACGGGGGACACGGGAACCTCAGAAAACAGTCAGAAGTACGGGTGGCTTTGACTCATGATTGCTATCTGAAGTGGGGGCAAGCTTGTAGGGCTGAGCCCTCACCTGTGGGATCTGACACTATTGCCAGGTAGATAAAATTGAAATGAATTATAGGAAACCAAGTTGGTGCAATGGCTTCTGTAAAGGCAGAAGGAAATTTATACCCTCAGAAGTTTTGATGGTTTGAATCTATAAAACAAACTGACAATAGACAGATTAACAGGAGAAAAGACGTATCGATTTATCAACTTGCAAGCTAGCGAGAGGCAAACAAAGTATGAAACTCAAAGAAGGGCCAAATGGCTGAAGCTTAAATAGGACCCTGAGCTACAGAAAGAAACCAGGGCCTCTGATGGCGAGGTGGTGACCAAAGTCATTGAAAGGTGATGGTAGAGTAAGTGTGTGGCCAGCAAAAGTTTTCTTATTACACAGATAAAAAGTCTTTCAGACAGAAAAATGGTTTTAAAAAATAGGTGAAAAGCC